TTATTTAATACCTTGCTGAAATCCAGATAAATTACATCTACAGCATTCCCACCATCAATTGAATTACTGACCCAATCAAAAAGATATGAAGTTTGTTCTTTACAAACCCATGCTGGCTCCTGCTAATCTTTACATTTGTCATCGAGATACTTGCAAACAGACTCCTGTATAATCTGATATAATTTTGTTCTGGTAGAGATCAGACTGACCTGCGTATAGTCTCCTAAATTGTGTGTTTTGCCTTTTTTTTAAAGACAGTGACATTTTACTCCTCTTCAGTCCTTCAACACCTTATCCATTCTCCATGATTTCTTAAAAACGAGGGCAAATAGTTCTGCGAGTATGTCAGTATGTTCCTTTCAAACTTTGGGAAGCAGTTCATCGGGTCTCCAGAATAGAGTTAATTCAGCGATTCCTGACTTAACTCCTTATCAATCTTGATTTGCAACCTGCTGATGCATTGAAACATACAGTCATCATTGGGGGGTGGGTAAAGCAATGTAAAGAAGTTACATTAATAAGCCATGCTCTGAAACACTATATTGAAGTAATTCTGTATCATTATCTGTTATATTGCAAATAAACATCGCATATATAGCAAATAAACACTTAATCTTAAGCATTAGTCCTGTTAATGGTGACCGTCACCCAGAGGACCTTTTCATTGGCTGCCCCAGGACTGTGCAATGACCTGCCGGAAGAGCTCCAACAGCTAAACCAGCTGAGAGAATTTAAAACTCAATTGAAGACCCATTTCTTCCAGGAGGCCTTACTAGTCAGTTTTGATTATGAATGTTAAACAAATCTTTTATTTATTTTAATTTTTGTTCTATGCATTTCATATAAATACTGTTTAATATGTGTATAATATATAAATATAAATCTTTATTTATATCTTGCTTTTCTCCCTCATGGGACTCAAAGTGGCTTATAACTTATTAAAATTATACAAATAACAATCCCAATATATAAATCCCAAGCCAATAAGACAATAAATAAATATAAAGTCTTAAAACGAGCTATTTAAAAACAAAAACAATATACATTTACCTCACGACCTCTGAGGATGCTTGCCATAGATGCAGGCGAAATGTCAGGAGAAAATGCCTTTAGAACATGGCCATATAGCCCGAAAAAACGTACAACAACACAATATACATTCACATCCATGTGTATATTATGTTACAGTTAAGTCGTAACAGGATAAAGTGTGTGTGTGTGTGTTAAAGCCTTATGCTGTTAATTATGTGCAGCTGCTAATGTAGGTCAACTAGTAAGTTTGGACCACACCCACACTGTATGGTTTTTAGAATACAGTTCAGCCTTTGCTTTGAGGAGCCTTTGCTCAGGCATTTTGCTCAACCATTTCTACTGTTCTCTCATTTGGATGAAGATGAAGAAGCCTTATTCTATATTGCTTACAAATACTATGTAAGCTTGTTGCACTGTTTGTAACATTGCAAGTTTATGTTTTAACTCTGCTGATAAGAGTAAAGTTTTTCTGTTTTTTTCCTCTTCCCTGGGTGCAATGTTATTGTGTCTTCTGCATTGGACCACCTCGAACCATGAGAGAGGAAGGTGAGAAACAAAATAATAATAAGAAACAAAATTTCAAATTGTCAATTTAATTATTATTATTATTATTATTATTATTATTATTATTATGAAATTGACAATATGAAATTTCAGTGTAGCAAAAGACATATCCTGCCTTAACTCCAAAATTGGGACTCATGGAAGCTTACAAATTAATACACATAAAATAGAGTTAAAAACCTAAATTGATTAAAATAAACAATTAACAACATCAAAACAATATAAAACATACACTTTAAAAGGCTGAAACTATGTTAGGACGGTATAATCTAAAACATCCCAGCACAATCTTACAGGCCCTTTTCTTAAAAGCCTTCAATTCTAAAAGCCTGTTTGAATAGGAAAGTATCTGCCTGTCAGTAGAAGGGGAGCAAGAGAGGATTATTAGCTTCCATAGGGATGAAGTTCCAGAGCCTAAAGTCACAAAGAAGGTTTCCTGAAGGTTTAATGTGGAGATAAACTAGTATGAAGTTAGGAGGGGCATTATACAGCTGTTGCCTGTTCCTTTTACATCACTCTAAGGTGGTGGACCCTGTTCTATGGAATAAAACCCAGTTTCCTGTTTGATGTTTGGAAGGGTTGAGAACATGCAGAGATGTGTGTGCAGGGGCTGTAGCCAAAGGGGGGGGGGGGGTTTAGGGGTTCAACCTCCCCCCCAATTTTTCAGGTCTAAAAAAACCCTGGTTTACTTATTAATTTTAACTGGTTAACCAAATCCCCGTGCTAAATTTATGAGAAGCAAACATTAAGAGTCCCTCCAGAACTGTAAGCACTGTCTCAAGCAAATTTTGACAATTTATTCACAGTCATTATTTGCAGCAATAGCTGATATAGTGGAAGCAACAAAGTTCGCCCACCCACAACCAGTAGACAAAGCCTAAGACATGGAGAGATTTGAAGCCCCCCATGAAGGAGATGAGAAAATGGATGTAATCAAGTCTATATAATATATAGAATGAATCATACTATTTAAATTATTTTGTGTTATGGAACTACTTTTCATGATTTGCTAAAAAAAATCATCTACCCCCCCCCCCCCCTGAATTTTGTTCTGGCTATGGTCCTGTGTGTGTGTGTTTTTGTGATCTGCTGCCCAGCTACATACTATTTGGCATTAAATTAGCTCTACTTTCTGATAAATATATAAACATATATCAAGAAACAGCAATCATATAAACATTTTCCTTTATTTTAATACGTTTGTTAGGTCATCACAATTATAAAGGTAAAGTACCATCCAAGTATTCGAATGTACAAACATCAAAATCCCTACAAGAATCACACTTTATTTACAGGTGTCCTAGACACAGCGTTATTTTCTCCTCATAAATAGCATCCCTTATTTTCACACATAAACCTCCAATGTGCATTATTTTTACAGGTTTTACATTATCATACTAAACCATGACATCACAAATGTTTCCTTAGCCCTCAAGATCTTTTTTTTTTTTGTCATCTTCATTTGGCCCACAGCAGAACTATTTTTTTGTGTTAAGGTAGCTCACAATTGAGAGAGGCAGCTTCTGTCATGCTAGCAGTTCGAAAACATGCAAATGTGAGTCGATCAATAGGTCTGGCAGAAAGGTAACGGCACTCCATGTAGTCATGCTGGCCACATAACCTTGGAGGTGTCTATGGACAACGCCGGCTCTTCAGCTTAGAAATGGAGATGAACACCAACCCTGAGAAGTCAGACATGACTGGACTTAATGTCAGGGGAAAACCTTTACCTTTTTTAGCTCACAATTAACACTGCCTTCCACACACATTAAGCATTTGCTGTTGAAATGGATGTGGCAGTCTAATACAATCCAGTATTATCAGCAAGCAGTTTGCTTACCCACTCCAGCCTCATCATACATCTTTCAGTGTAGCATTTTCTCTCAAGAGCAATAAATCTCCCTTATAATTGGATTCTTCATAAGCATTGCTTCCTCAAAGATCTTAAAAGTGCTTTTGATTCCAGCTATGGAGATTTGAACACATTGGGGTGGAGACGGCGTGCAACTGGCTCTTTATTATTCCAGTCTTTACAGAATCGGGTTTTAAACTTCTTTACAACTTATGAATCAAACGCTGACAAAATACTCTTGACGTTTTCACAGTGTGGTATTTTATGTCCTAGCCAAACCATTATTTATATATCTTTATATATCTATATATATATAATTAAAAATAAAAATTTCAGTATAAAAATAGAATGCTTTGAAAGGCTTTACACCAAAAAACAACCCCCTAGGTATTAATCCTACACCACTTTGTACAGTAGAATGCACAGAATTCCACAGGAACAGAAATGAAAAATGGTGCTCAGCCAGAAAATTAAGAGCTGAGTTCTTTTACAAACAAACCCTTTACATTATTTCTGTTTTTCTAAAAAATTTTTTTTTTAATTTTGGTCATCATGAAGATATGTATAGTGTGCCACAATCTACAGGACCAGCTGAAGTTATCAAGCAGGTAATATGTATCACAATTTCTCCCCAAATTTGCTTGCAGAAAGCACACCCAGCTTAGCAGCAGCTGCATTACTGCTCTCCATTTGGCTCAAGGTTGCTTTCCAATTTTTAAAAAAGATCTCCATCTTTACTCTGCTAAAGCTCCTTCTTTGATTCCCACACAGCTGCTGTGGGCAAAATCTCCAGTCACTGCCTAGATCAGTGGTTCTCAACTTTGCTAATGCTGCAGCCCCTTAATTCAGTTCCTCATGTTGTGGTGACCCCCAACCATAAAATTATTTTCATTGCTACTTCATAACTGTCATTTTGCAACTATTATGAATCATAATGTAAAGATCTAATATGCAGGATATATTTTCATTCACTGGACCAAATTTGGCACAAATATCCAATATGCCCAAATTTGAATACTGGTGAGTTTGGGTGGGAGGGGGTTGATTTTGGCATTTGGGAGTTGTAGTTGCTGGGGTTTATAGTTCACCTACAATCAAAGGGCATTCTGAAGTCCACCAAAAATGGAATTGAACTAAACCCGGCACACAGAACTCCCATGGCCAACAGAAAATACTGGAAGGGTTTGCTGGGCGTTGACCTTGACTGTTGGAGTGTAGTTCACCTACATCCAGAGTGCACTGTGGACTCAAATAATTATTGATCTCAACCAAACTTGGCACGAATACTCAATATGCCCAAATGTAAATACTGGTGGAGTTTGGGGAAAATAGACCTTGACATTTGGGTGTTGCAGTTGCTGGGATTTATAGTTCACCTACAATCAAAGAGCATTCCGAACCCCACCAACGATGGAATTGGGCCAAACTTCCCATACAGAACCCCCATAATCAACAGAAAATACTGCAATTTCTGATGGTCTTTGGTGATCTGTGACACCCCCTGTGACACCCCCCCAGGAGTCCTGCCCCCAGATACCCTCACCAGTGCTGGCCTAGATACCCTCACCAGTGTTCTGCATAATTTCTAAACCTTATCTCTGAAACCTAAGCTTTGGCCTACTGATTGCACAGACTTCTGAAAAGATTACATTCTTTTTTACTGAAATAGGAATGCTTTCTTCAAAGACCTTTTAAACTAACCATGTTGCTCTTGATTCTCAGAGCTGCCACATAAATAACAGTAAGGGTTTCAGACTGATGTAGAAACCCAATCATTTTGCAACCTTGATCATGTAGAAAGCAGCCATTGGGTCATCTGGGCAACTGGGTGCCTCTTAAACAAGAGTATTTGCTGTAGTGAGCAAAGCAAACTTTAACAAAGGATAGGATCTTTGCAGTCCTGAAATATCCATTATCCAGCTTGGCTTTTATGAAACAAAAGGACTGCTGAGCAATAGCACTAGCCCATTCTTTAAGTGGTAGACACCCTGGCTTCCTCATGCATCTCTGAGTTGGCCAATTGTACACAGTATAATTTATAACAGCAGCAGGATTGCTCAGAGATGAGTAGATGCAGTATTTGCAACAGCAGTAGTGTTCGCTACTGCCTGTCACACTTGAAAACTGTATTCAGACAATATACAATCGTGTAGCTTTCAACAACATGAAACTGTCTCCCCCAAATAGTGCAATTTGTACATTACACACACGTGCGCACGCACACATAAACAACAGTGCTTTCACAAAAACCAGCTGGCAAAAAAGTAGTTGGCAACTATTTGTTTCCCCCCTCCATTGTGATAACAGTTAATATGCCCTGTCATGTGTCAGCATCCCTATCTATATTGTCTTGCGATGACAGAAGTGATGGATAGGGTGCAACACACTTCACATTGACATAGGTGGTGTTCACATGAACATAATGCTCCCCAACAAAAGTGGAGAAGATTACTGAAATATCTGAAACCAATTCAGAAAATGCTGGCCGTAGTTCGGGTTTTGGATGCCAACACTTGAGCATGACTTCATACCTGCAATAGAAAGGCAAGAAAAATTAACATTCATCCATAAAAATTACTAAGACCTGTTAATATTTGGCTGGAACTTTGCAAATTATTTTCTTACAGTGCATCTGGGCAATATTCAGGTTGTAAGAGTCGTCTTCCTTGTAGTAAGTAAACAGTGATATCAAAAGAGTTGACATCAGGGTAGGGAGGGGCCCCTCTTGTCATCAGCTCCCAAAGTAAGACTCCAAAGGACCACTAAGACCAAAACAAAACAAAACAAAAGAGAAAAAACAAATTACAACGCTGGAGCGCCTGAACCCAGTGAAAGTAGTTATATATATTTAAAATAATTCTGGTTTATCACACTTAAAGTCTATTAACTAAATAGTGGACTGAAAAAATCAGCCAGAGAATATAAAGTCCAAGAAAATTAAATACACAGCTCAACAAAAATAAATAGTTAGTGCTTTGTAGTTATCGGGGGTGCTGATTCAGTACACTGCATTCCTTAGATATGGTTGTCATAATTTTCTGTGGGAGAGCAGATGAAGACTGGTTGATGGCATGTTCTGTATCTCAAAACCTAGCACCAATAGGGCAAAACTGGTACCATTTTTGGAATCAGCAGGTCAAATACACCCAGAAACAGGTCTAACCTTTGAGGCACCAAAATATGTATTGTCCAGTGATATATCTATACACTACTGAATTTTTAAATAGTTTGTGTTTAATTCTGTTATAATGTTTGTAAATTTTAAATTGTAGACCAATGCTTTTATGCCAAGCTGCTTTGAGTCCCCTTTGGGGAGATAAAGCAGAATAATAATAATAATAATAATAATAATAATAATAATAATAATAATGATAATGTGCCATTGATTGTGTACATCAATTTTGAAGGTATGCATTACAAAGATAAAGAGAGAGAGAGAGAGAGAGAGCAAGCAAGATTTGTTGTCAAATGTAATGCATAGCTTCTCCTTGCCTGTCAGCCATTCTGTTGCCCACCTAGGAATAGCTGACAGGCAAGAGGAAGCTGTGCATTACGTTTGACCCGTCATCAGGTGGCTTCGCAACTAAGGCCACATTCACAAAGCCTTCGAAAACAAGAGAGGAAGTTTTGAAGGCCTCGTCAATGGGGCCGATTGGGAATCTGTGCCCCTTCGTCAGTCCAAGGTGGGTTTATGTGTACGATTCTAACTTGCCATTGATTCTAATGTACACCTCACTTTTGGCTATGTAATTTAGCCAAAAAAGGTGAGCATTTGATTTGAGTAAATATGGTAGTTGGGGATTTCTCTGATCTGATTCCTTCACAGTAAAGGATGGCATAGCCATGCAGGACAGCTTTAGGGGAGAGGGAGGGTTTTTGCACACTCCAAATGGAGGAAGGGACTACCAACCTTCACATTGCCATGCCCCAAAAAGCTATATGTACATAAAAAAGAAAACATATCTATAACAGGATGTCAGCTCATATCTAGACACGTGACATTTGCAGACAACATAACATTTCAAGGGATAAGACGGATTCTGACCAGCCAGAATCCAATATTCTTGGCTCCCTCTCCACCCAGTTTTTGTAAACCAAATTACTTAAAAGTGAGAGCTTTGAGTCTTAGAGGGAAAATGGAATTGCTCAAACCCAGTTATGGTTTTGTTTCTTCTAAAACATTAATGCCCTTTCCCGTGTTATCTAAAATTCTGTGGTTTAAGGGTGTGGACAGAAAAGCAATACAGGAGTAACCCGTGACCAGATTATTTTGCAGGCCAAGAGAACTGGAACTTGGTTCAGATTTAGAATCTGAAGGGTTTTTTTTTTTACATTAATCGACCATTTCATTCTTCTTGTTTAATATTTCCAGGAATGTCTTGAAATGTGGAGTCAGCAAGACATAAATAATTATAGACACATTACCACATCTGACTTCGTAGTGAACTTCTGCGTTTGCAAACTTTCTAAAGCCATCCATTTTACTGGCAGCTTGGCTCCTGTTTTATTGTGTACACTGTAGTACTCCTTATCGTAGACATCTCTAGCAAGGCCAAAATCAGCAACCTTGACAGTAAATTTTTCATCCAGCCTAGAAAAATGACAAAATCATTATCGGGGCCTGAGAAACACAATTTGCATTGCCTTATGACATCTCTGTGACCATAGCTTTTCAACATCATATTTCACATTTTAACAAATAATAAAATAGAGGCCTAGTCCAGTTGCTATATCCAAAGAAAAACGAGAAATCCTCAAGAATCATGTTTTGATTTTCATTAAATTATCATCATCATCATCATCATCATTATTATTATTATTATCATGATCATCATTAATAATAATTGTATTGCTTATCCGCCTCTCCTCATGGCTTGAGGTGGGTTATAACATCGCTAAAACACATAATCGTTTAAAAACGTTCTATAAAATATACATATTAAAGCATATTACTATAAAATACATAGAATAATACACAGGTCAACCCCCCTGTTTAAACAGCTCTATTGGCTGCCAATAAGTTTCTGGTCACAATTCAAAGTGCAGATCATCACCTACAAAGCCCTTAACGGTTCAGGACCTGCCTATCTTCAAGATCGCATCTTGCCCTATGAACCAGCATGTACTTTAGGATCATCTGGGGAGGCTCTGCTCTCACTTCCACTGCCGTCTCAAGCGCGGCTGGTGGGAATGAGAGAGAGGGTCTTCTCGGTGGTGGCCCCTCAGTTCTGGAACTTGCTACCTAAGGAGATCAGATTAGCACCTACCCTTTCCATTTTGCGCAAGGAGTTAAAAGCCTTGTTGTTCTGCTATGCATTTGATTAGACAGTTCACCAAAGAACTGGGTCGATCTCTCCAGATCTCTTCGCAGTTTCGTTGGCTCTCCCACCTGTAATCCTATTATTGTAAATACCTAAGGACATTACCCTCCCAGCTGTGACCCGAACTGAATTGAATCTTATTTTGCACTTTCTCTGGGCTCTATCTAGGAATGATTGAACATTTCCTGATCCTTCCGCACTCAGCACTTAATCTTTCAGCCATTATTCTGTTTTTAAAATGTGCACTGTGATGGTAATGTTTTTCTGATGTTTTTGTTGATTTTATTTTATTTTCTTGTGTGTGTTTTAATCTATATTTTCGGGCTTGTCCCCTTCCTTGTAAGCCTCCCCAAGTCCCTTCGAGGAGATGGTGGCAGGGTATAAAAATAAAGTTGTTGTTGCTGTTATTATTGTTGTTGTTATTATTATTAAAGATTAAGCATAAGACCCAAGTTTAAAATTCATGATTAAGACTGGCTGGGTAATGGCCAAACTACAAAGATTTAATCTTTGGAAATATTGAATTGAAGGTGCTGGACTAAGATGGGAAAACGTTGGTTCAAATCTGCACTTGGCCATAATCCTCACTGGGGAAGTTATAATCTTTCAGTCTTATCAATCTTAACAGTGTTGTTGTGAAGATAAAAATGAGTAGGAGGATCATGTTATGCTACTTTCAGCTCCTAAGGAAGAAAGGAAGGATAAGCACATAAACAAGAAAGCACTGGCATCTCTTATTTAATTGCTCTTACTGTAAACTTACTATGAATGGATTGATCTATTTAACATAGCTTCTGTATCTGTAATGAGTATCTTGTTACATTCAGGCTCATACCACAAGAGAAGCCAAAACTTAACAAATCTTAGGGTCACGTCACCACATGCCAGCTAGTGGAACATGTGCAACACGTTTCTGTTTGTCAAGTGAATGGCATCTGGCTCCCTGAAATGAGAGTTCTCATTAGTTTGGTGCTTTGTTCCTCTATTATACTAGCCTGCTTCCATTTTTTTGTACTGATGGCTAAAGTTGAAAGACTTGGATAGTCCAAGATGGCTTGAATCTGTCCCCTTCCCTCCCTTCAATGGCTTATAACCTCATCACTATTTAAAAACAACAATAAAGGAGATAAAGAAGTGCCAACATTTATCTGCTATTTTAGTAGCAGATATAGAACTCCTTTATTGCTATACTTATGAACCCTGCAAAGAAGCCTACACTTATTTTCAAAGGGATACTTGTGTTTTTATGCTGATGGAACTCAATCGCCATGGCTAAACAAGAAAACTATATTAATTAATGCTGTTAAGCTCATTAATTCATAATGTAGGTGATGAATCAGCATAATGATGCCGACAACGATTGTACCAATCAGTCATTGTGTGCACTAAACTGTCTGGTCACCCAGACGCTAATAAGATGTTTTGCATAATGTTTGTTTCGTTTACAAAGGTCAGTGAAAAAATAGAGCTGAGCTATGTACAAAAAGCCCCTATCAAACCAGATCTTTTGTGTCCCCCCCCCCCCCCCCCCCCCCCCAGTAATTCAACCATGTTTATTTCAATTAGGCGTGCAGTTTATGACTAACTTTAAGCCACGGCACAAGGGGACTTGTGAACAGCAGTTCTCTAAAAGCACAAGTGCTGGCAGTGCAGTGAATGCAACACTTTAAAGGAGCTACCTGATGTGTCAAATCCACTTTGGGGATATAATTGGGCAACTTGGCTAACTCTTGGAAAGCCCAGTATAAATTTTATGCACTGGGATGCAATTCATCAATTGTTTAGGCCAGGTAAATAATGATTAATTATTCATTTATTGTGTGCTGATGTTTATGGCCCACTTCTCAAAATATTTTTTTCCCCAAAACAGCTTATCAACAACAAAAAATAATGATACTAGCATTTGAAAAAGGATAGAACATTCATATTTAGAATTTACTTCACAAAAAGTAAAAACAAGGAAACAAATGGAAAAGTTTCATGACATCATTGGTTTAATCTGTTAATTACATCCTAAAACAAAATGGCAAAATTATGTGCCATAGACCACTTGTAGCCCTCAAAAGCTTTTCTGTAGCCACCAAGTCTGCTGATAACTCCAATCACCTTCTTCCACAAAATTGGCAGAATTGCACATTAAATACCCACAAACATGGAACAACTTTTGATTTAAGACATCTTCTAACTTCCTAGACTTTCAAGTCTAGCCACACTGAAAACCAGCTGAAACCCAGAAATGTGAACTGCAAGTAGAATTCTGGTCACTTTTGACTGTGCGGATGACATTTGGCTCCTCTTTGCCTCAATTTCTCATTTCTTTCTTAAGGGATCTCCTTCCTAATGTAAAAGCTCACAGTCATATCAGGAATGGAAAATCACAGACTGATCAATGGCCTTCCTGACTGTGGCTGATGGGAGTTGGGGATCTAGCAACACTGAAGGTGGTAGTTCCCTAACCTTGCACCACACTGCAAAATAAATAAGAATTGCTAAGTTTTCAAAACATGTCAGAAAAGAATATCAGGAACACAGAAAGAATAATGGCACCAAATTGGAAGAGATAGCCAATACTCCAGAAGACAGGAGAAGAATTCAAAATGATCTTAACAAATTAGAGAGATGGGCCAAAAGTAAGAAAATGAAGTTCAATAGAGACAAATGCAAAATACTCCACTTAGGCAGAAAAAAATGAAAAGCAAAGATACAGAATGGGGGATGCCTGGCTGGATAGCAGTATGTATGAAAAGGATCTTGTAGTCCTCATGGACAACAAGTTAAACATGAGCCAACAATGTCATGCGGCAGCTAAAAAATGGCCTGCATAAATAGAAGTCTAGTGTCTAGATCCAGGGAAGTCATGCTACCCCTCTCTTCTGCCTTGGTCAGACTACAACTGGAATACTCTGTTCAATTCTAGGCACTGCAATTGAAGGGAGATGTTGACAAATTGGAATGTGTCCAGAGGAGGGTGACTAAAATGATCAAGGGTTTGGAGAACAAGCCCTATCAGGAGTGACTTAAAGAGCCAGACATGTTTAGCTTGCAGAAGAGAAGGTGGATAGGAGACATGATGAGGGCCATGTATAAAGAGGTGAGGAGAAGTCAAGGGGAGGAAGGAGCAAGCTTGTTTTTCCCAATGCCCTGGAGACTAGGACGTGGAACAATGTCTTCAAACTACAGGAAAGGAGATTCCACCTGAACATGAGGAAGAATTTCCTAAGTGTTAGAGCTGTTCAGCAATGGAACTCTCTGCCCCAGAGTGTGGTGGGGGCTCCTTCTTTGGAGGCTTTTAAACAGAGACTGGATGGCCATCTGTCAGGGGTGCTTTGAATGTGATTTTCCTGCTTCTTGGCAGGGGTTGGACTGGATGGCTCATGAGGTATTTTCTAACTCTATGATTCTAATGAGGTTCATAGGGAAATCTTGGGTTTTCTTATTGAGCAGCAAACACTCTTGGTCAGAAATATTTCAACACAATAATTCTACAAAGAAAACAGGTTTATGATTGCAAAGCTCTGTAGTTTCCTGGAAGGTAAGCCCAATTGAATGCAGCAGGACTTGCTTCTGAATAAAATATAGTGCTATCAAATATAGCTATCAACAGAAGGATCGTAGTCTAGGCATTGTGATAGTTGACAACCTGAGAATTCCATCAATGTACATTTATAACAGATAGATGGGATACAAAAGCAACAAATAAAAATGTGCTGAGTTCTTTTAAGACTACCTAATCCAAACAACTCTAACAAGTACTTTGGAATGTGATTACTTACATACAATTTCTTGCTGCTAAATCCCTGTGGACAAACTTTTTGCTTGCAAGATATTTCATCCCCTTTGCCACTTGCAAACCAAATCCAATCAAATCCTTTACTGTTGGATTCTGTAAATTGGGAACAGTGATGCAAGTTGAAACAACAAACAACAAATCGTAGAAGAATTGATTGCAGTTAAAAAAAATAGCTCTCGAGATGAATACCCAAGTTTCTACTTTGGTATCTTACAGAGTTTTGGGGTTTTTTTTAATGTTTTTTTTTCTTCTGAGCACTGGAGGAAAGACAGAATTAAGTGGCACATCAAAGAAACAAGCCTTTATGTATACTGAAATGTGTATACTGAAATATACATAACCTTTTCTATCTATTTAAAGCTACATTAGAAAAATAAGGTGTATAAATATCAGATAGAAAGTTAACCAATGGCAATGTGAGTTATACAAATCGAATGATATTGCTTTTTAACGGTAAGCACTATCTTCTATTCATTGCAATTAATTTTCATTTCCACCAACACCTAATTTTCAAGGACAACAGGACGACGACTTTTGGGCATTACCTTGTGCCAAAAATGCTCAGATATCAAAGTTCTCATCTTTTTGTATTTTTAGAACCTTTCTAGGAACTGTTCAGTTTGACTGCATGCTCTGACTATATGTACAGATAATGTTTTTGATGTATTTACCATATACTTTGGGAAGGGGGAATAATCTACTGTTTGAAAAATGTGGCTAAAGTACAAAATCAAATGATTCACATAGACAATTTAAAACTATTCTTATTATTTTTATTCCACAGCAGAAAAACATAAGCAAACCACATAAGAGTTAATGCTTTTATTATGAACAGAGCAGAAGATTCTAAACTATTACTAAAAATATTAAAAATTAACTGGGTATTTTTATTACAAAAGTGTGAGTCAAGAACTGAAAGAGTTAGTAGGCTGAAGCCTGTTAAGAGTCAGTGGCCCAAAGCTAGTGTCATCCTGAGGAGAGTGAGTTAAACCTCTGTGTGAGAGAAGCCTCCTGTGAGAAAGCTCCAGTGTGAAGGCTGCTGCATGTTAAGCTACTATGTATTTGTTTATTTGTGTTATGGAAACCTAGTTCTTGTAAATAATGCAACTATATTACTACATTGCATTATTTATCTTGTAAACAATGCAAATAATGCAACAATTTTACTACAAAGAAAAGCTTCCCATGGAAGATATAACATTGGTCTGTGTGTTTTTCTTCTTTTTATCACTTTTGGCTACTGGTGGTGGGTCACGCTGCTGCCAATAAGTTATTCTGCTGTGCATTCTGTTAATAAGCCCACTCGCCCAACAGCTATTACCTACCTAACCAGCTCCTGAATGTACTTACATGAGACTCGTTCCTAATAAAGTTTCGAAGATCTCCATGTTTCATGTATGGAAGCACAACCAAGGGAGACCCTTCACTGGGTAAGCAAATTCCAAGTAATGACAGGACATTAGGATGTGTGAAATCTTTCATTATTATCCCTTCTTTTAGGAACTGGGCTACTTCATCCAAGTCTGTAATCCCTGAGAAACGCAGTAGCAAAAATAAATAAATCCAGGATACATATTTCTAGTACATTTCAAAACAAAGGAAACTTGCAGGAAGAAATATCAAAGGTGATACTTTGAAGCCTATCCCTGTAATTAAAATAAAATAAAACAAATTAAAAACCGTATCTCAAAAAGATCATATCCAAGTCAAAGAAAATAAATGTCATATCCACGTCAAAGAAAATAAGGGTCCTTCCAGATAGGACTTTCATTGCACTGACTTATTCACAGTCCACTAAGTTGTCTAGAGCACTGTTTCCCTACCCATATATGGGGTCCTGTTAGCTCAACGTTGGCGTCCCTCAAAAATTGGCAATGGAAAAAGATTTCTGAACATGATCTAGTGGCTATTTTAGACAATAACACAAATGTGTTGTGCATGAAGGTGTTTCGAGTGTACTCTCAAGGAAGTGCTTCAGCTATACTTCATTAAAAAAATCATCTTTAGCAAGCCTTGTAAATGTGGGTGCGTTATTAGTAAACTTCTGATTTTATATTCATTTTATATACTTATATATCAGGGTCACATAAAATATCTTGGACAGAAAGGGGGCCCAACTAGAAAACTTTAAGAAGCTCTAGTTTAGAGAGATCAAACAATGATGTCGTCAAATGATAACCTACAGTTATTGGTTATTCCACCATTTTTCTGGCCATTGCAAATATGTTAAGGTGGAAAGACAAAACAGTTACCACCCTGAACCTTCCATTTAGTGTTTGCCTACTAGGAATGCTATGTATGTATAATGGTAGTAGGTTTAGATATTGGGGAGAAATCTGGACTTCTGAAGTTTCAGTCTGGCCCCTGGGATACCTTGGATGGCCATGCATACTTCTCCAAGTTTTTGTGCTCTGCTATAACCTCTTTTAAGCCCCCTCCCTGGTGGTGCAACAGGTTAAACTGCTGAGCTGCTGAACTTGCTGACCAAAAGGTTGGTGGTTCAAATTCAGGAAGCGGGTGAGCTCCCCTTGTTAGGCCCAGCTTCTGCAAACCTAGCAGTTTGAAAACATGCAAATGTGAGTAGATCAATAGGCTCCACTTCTGTGGGAAGGTAACAGTGCTCCATGCAGTCATGCTGGCCTCTTGACCTTGGAGGTGTCTCTGGATAATGCTGGCTCTTTGGCTTTGAAATGGAGATGAGCACCATCCCCCAGAGTTGGACACGACTACACTTAATGTCAGGGGAAACTTTACCTTTTTTTATACCCCCTTTCAAAAACCTGAAATTCCCCTCTTAAGGCTAACTCATAGTCCATAAACGCTGTAGATCAAAAGTGCATTTGGCCGTGCCCATCTTTGATAAGCAGCTCTTGAATTTCTCTGAAACTGAATTGGGTTATTGGACTGAAAACCGATTCCCCACACTCGATATATATGAATTGATGTTTATCATTGGCGGAGTGTACTTAATATGTCCTCAGTATACACTTGTAATTTCAGAATTCTTTCCTTATATTTATTATTGTACCTCCCTTCCTTTTTCATAGACTAGTAACAATAAATAGAAATGTCCCAACTGCAAAGCCAGAAGAAGGTCATTCCTGGTGTATGCCAATTCACTCCTGCTGATTTCCAACTGTCTTACTCATAAAAAAGCAAACATAAAGCAACCCAGCAGCATGTAAAATAATACTGCTGTACATCTTTCAATCTTCCATTTATCTGTGGAAGAATAAGGATATGAAGATTCTCATGCATGGATATGATTAAACATAAGTAACAAAAAAGAACTTAATGAAAGTAGACATATTCAAATAATACTATGTCATTCTATAATACAGTGTGATATAAATTGCTTCTGTTTATTCCAAAATTGATTATAGCTCATTCTATTGAAAAAATGTGTGACTCACTGTTCAAAGACTTTACAGCACAATGAATTTTCCGGTCGTCAGTATCCAACAAAGTTCCATGATAGACACATCCAAAGTGTCCTGCATAAAAATAAGCAAGACTAATGTAGACTCTATTTTCTTGTAGACAGTTGCAATATATGATTAAAGTGTAGATGTCCTAGATTCAGAACAAAAGCAAGTACCTTGCACAATCAATTTACAAAATTGACTGGTACATTGCAGAGTGAATAAACATTTGTCCAGATGGCTTAAAGAGATTGAAAAAAAATCATGGAAAATAAGACTGCTGGACCTCTGAGCATTGGATTGCGATGTCAAACAACAAGAGAAACCTCTTGCTTTCTTTGTGCTCTACTTATAGGTTTTCCTAGAAGAATTTGGTGCTCCACTGATAGTAAGAAAAACAACAACTTATGGAGAAGATATGCATCTGGAGGGCCACTAATTTGTCACCTCTAATTAAACAATCTGGGCATTTCCTTAAATTAAGAAATACTGGCACAGTTTTAGTGTAACTGCTTCACTTGGCTAAACATATATACTTGGATAAAATCTGCACATTTTAGATTCTTACGGAACTAATTCTAAAAACTGGGGAAAATCTATTTTGTTAGGATCCAGCTGAAGTTCTATAATAATAAACTTTATTTGTACCCCACCACCGTCTCCCCGATGGGGACTCAGTGCGGCTTACATGAGGCCAAGCCCAAAACAACAATTACATAAAATAAAACCGAAAATGCAAATAAGGAACAATAATAATGCATAAAACAAATGAAAACATAGCAATATAAGATTACAATAAGCACATGCTTACTTGGGAATACATCTCTTTAATTCATCAGTAAATATGCTTAAGACAAATGTTTCCAGTAAAGGTGAAGAAAACAGCTGTTTTGAATCAAAATCAGGACTCAAGTTTCCATAGCAATATCTACTATATGCTCCTGGATGTGTATTTGTTTTAGGCATAAAACATTTTAATAGATGTTGTTTTTTCTAATTTATATGTCTGGTTTTATGTAAACATGCTATTGATTCTATATGTTGATGTATTGCATTTTATGTGTTGTATGGCACCATTCTGTGCTATTTTGTTTTTTATTTTTTTATTTTAGTTGATACATCCCATTAATTAACAAACTTTTGCCCTACAAGTCTTATCTCGATATACATTATTACAAAAGTAAATTTATCTTATATGACACATTATACATTACTTCAATGTGTATCACCCATTAACCATACCCTTCCCCCCATTCCCCCTTCCCTCCCTGAGTCCCTATGGGAGATGGTGGCAGGGGAAAAAAAAGTTTTTTTATTATTATAATAAACCTTTAAATTTAAATCAATAATATACTGCAGTAGTTTCATTTTCAAACATTCAATGGGACAATTCCATAGATGGAAGTTCTGCCAGTGGGCCAAGATGCCCCTCCCCTTCTAGAGTTGATTTCAGATGGCACATAATGCTAAAGGGGAAAAAAAGTTCTGAATACTGATATCAAGTTAAATGTATGCCATTATGCCAGATGGTAACATGGACAACACTGAAATATATTTCATTGATACAATTACAGTGCTTGATAATCATTCAAATAGTAAAAAGCATATGATGAATGCTTATAGAGAACTTTTAACTGAGAAAACCATTTAATTACTTACCTCTTCCTATTACTTCATTAAAATGCACAATCAGGCTATCAGGACCAATAACCACATGCTCAACTTCTTTGACCAAGTCGGGATTTAAGGCACTGATGTCAATGTGAACATTTGTCTGCAGCAATGGACTGGCTAAGTCAGAGTCTCCCGTAGACATAATGGGAGATAAGTCTCCATGAGGATACTGGGCTGGTCTGCATGAACCATTCTGAGAAAAAGTTGGAAACTGATCTGCAAGGAAAGTAGCAGTCGTTAATTCCATCATTTATTTATTTTAAAATTTCAAATCTCTTTCTAAATATATTCAAGTTTCCAAAATTACTAAGGGCACATCCAGACAGCCCCTTTAACACAGGAGTTCCCACATTTAAAAAGGAGCTGTCCATATGACATTCCAGAGAAACACACGTTTATTGACCACAAACCAGGAAAACCCTGGTTTGTCGTGAATTTAATTATTAGTGGGTTTATCCCATGTCTTCTTGGAAGGCATGGGATAAACCCATACTTCGGCTGTCTGCATTACTCCCTCAAAAATTCTGGACTTTTGAGGGGGTAGTCCAGACAGTAGTCCCGCATTTTCCAGGCTGATTCTGCTTGGAAAACTGTGAGGGCACCAACTCCATTCCCGACCTCTCCGAAACCCTAAAAAATAAAAAGGAAACTTACCAGGAGCCATTTGGCTTCTCCTTCTTTCTGATGGAACATACCAATGATGCCTGAAATGAAGGGGGGGGGGGCAAATTGCTCCTGGCTCACCCTATGTTTTTGGGCATAATTGGTATGTTCCCTCAGGTTGGAAGAGAAGCCCAAAGTGGATTTAATTTATGTGTGGAACCGCCCTATAGCATATCAAATCAATACATGTAATATAAACTTTCCAAAGATCATTCAAAGTGGAATCTAATAGGACCAAGCCAAAAAAATCTTTTTTGTATTACAACCTTGGGAGAAAAATAGAAAATAGATAGATAGTTAGAAAGATAGATAGATCTCTTTGCTTGCCCCCCTGTCTGTCTGTTATGTATTCTTAACAACATGTCTAAAGCTTAAAGGGTGGGGTGGGGGAGCAACTGCACTTCTCCAAGAAGATAGTTCTCCATTAAGGATGTTCCTATATCATTTGATCCAGGCCAAAGTCCCAGACTAATGAAAGTTAATTCCAGTGTCAAAAGGACAGTGAATGTTCTGAGTTTTAGTGAGAACATTACGTGAGGTAATAAAGGTGCTGGATCTATTTTGGGATTGGATTCAGTACCTTAAATGGCTCTGTCAAATTTAGAATAAACCCCACAGCAGATTTGCTGCCCTATGATATTACCACCCACTAGGGCTCACACCTGAAATTTAAGGATTAATTATTAGCAGGAAGTCCTTCCAAGACAAATGATACACAACTTGCGAAAAAGCAGAGAATTATCTCTGTCAGTGGGAATAATTGTATGATTTTTCCTTCATTTGTAAATGGGAGTAACACTAATTGTCTCACTACTTTTACATGATTTATTTTAAATGCTAAGTAGTACCTTTCCCACTCATAAAGACACTGCTACTTTGCCAAGGCTCAAAAAGATTGATTTTGTGTGATGCAAGTTCTTACTCTGAAGGAAGTAAATGACAAGGCTCCACCTGAGTCCCTCTACTTCAAATTGAACTACTCTACAGTCAACTGTACTTGTGTTAAACAGGAAAATGACACACTGGCATGAAAAAGGAAATTTTTAAAACAGAATTTTAGATGACTAAAACATATCAAATGTCTTACGGGTTTTCTGATTTTTAGACTGTTTTCTAGATCTTATAAAGAAATTAGGGCCAGTCTACTATGATTTGACAATTATATGAGAAGACTCTACGGTGCAAATCGGTAGTCAGAACTTCTCAGCAAGAGTGTTTCTAAGGATGCCAGTCTACACTGTAAAAATTAAGGCTGTGCAACACCACTTCATCTGCTTCATCTATACCTCAATTTTCCTGCCCCACCCCGAAATTGCATGTATGGATTATCCAGTCGACGGGCTGGATGGTTATGGATCCTTGCCTTTTATCTCTGCCAAACTCATGCAAACTGTAAGCTAACAAAGGGATCTGGCTTCTTTTTCCTATAAGTGGCCTCAACCTTGTTTATTTTCCCTTCTTTTTTTCTCTTTTTCTGGTGTAAGGGGTGAAAATACTGTAAACCTCCAGCATTTACTAATGAGAGAAAAAAAGATAATACCTTCCAAGAAAGTTGACCTATAGTCTACAGATTCACTTGAGACCATTTCTGTTGTAGGGCTCACACTCCTTGCACTCACAAGTCTGTCCAAGTGAGGAGTGTGCACTCTTCCATCATAGCGAACAATCTCTCTGCCTAAATCTTCGTGTGGAGGAAAGCAAGATTTTGTGATTATGATCCCACTTTTTTCCAATCTAATCAAACCAACTAACATTAAAACAGACACAGCTAAAACAAATCATACAAAGCTTTAAAATATAATTAAACTATCAGTAAAATTAAATTTAGTTAAAAGCATAACCATGAAAAAGAAGAACAAATATAAGCTAGACAGCATATTTATTTATTCATCCATTTATTTAATTATTTAATTACATAGGCCATTTTTAGAGTTTCAGCCTGAAGGTGACCCAAGCAGTTAACCACAACTAACATGGCATTAACACTAAACTTAAAATTATCTATGGGACTAGATTTTATTCTTGCTTATTCAATGTGTCAGAGAAACTAAAGCAGTTTTACAAAAGGGATTTTTTTGGTGTCAGAAACAACTTGAGAAACTGTAAGTTGCTTCTGATGTGAGAGAATTGGCTGTCTGCAAGGACATTGCCCAGGGAAGACCCAGATGTTTTACCATCCTGGGGAAATCTTCTCTCATGCCCCACATCGGAAGCTGGAGCTGACAGATAGGAGCTCACTTCATCTCGCGGACTTCAATCACCGACCTTTAGGTCTGCAGTTCAACCAGCACAAGGGTTTAACCCATTGTGCTACTGCGGCTCCTTTTACAATGGGTTAAGTCCCAACTCTTCAAGATCGTGCTAAATTGGGATTAGACACCCATGGTTCTGCAGGAATAATACTGCAAAATGAACTTCTTCTTCTCCATGTACCAAGAAACAAATGCATATGTTGTCAGTTTGGTGTTAGACTGCCACCAGAAATTTGCTAGTGGCAAACTCTGCACATTACAGCAGGCAACAGAAGGCACTTCTTGTAGCCTGCGCAACTGGGGAAGGGAAGCTTTTTGCCATCTACACATAAAGGAGACTGGTTATGATGAAAATAGTTCCACCTGAACTATTTTCAGGGGTGTGGCTGCACTAGGGAGCAGCCCACCCATTGAGTACTCTATACTGTTTACAAGGGAAATTGGGAGTAGAGGGTCTTTAAATAGGTCATCATCCGGAAAGCAGACATAGGTTTACAATTGGTGTATACCTAAGGCACCCCTTTGTGGTGTAGGCCAGGAATGGAAACCCTCACCTGTGTTTACATAACCAGGGTGAAAGCAAACAGAAATGGCCTTGAGATGGGGAGAGTTCTGGCTCCATAAAATCCTTTGGACTTGGGACAGAATTCTTCATACGTTTTCCTTAGGGGTCACCCTGAAAACATTAAAGTTCACTATATCTGGGGACCCAGGTGTTTTGCCCAGCTTTGCTGAGGGGTAGGTCATGAAGGGCCACTACCTTGGCTTAAATCTACAACAGGTTCATGCCACTTTAATTACACGCTGCAGGTCACATAAAGTTAATTCAGGTAACATTTAAATAAAGTTGCCTATATTTTAATCCACACAGTAGTCTGGTCTCTTTATTCCGAGGGTGGAATGGCTGCGAGGATGAAAATCTGGTCTGTGAGACTTTTTCCTCTTTATTTATTTATTTAATTTCCACTCCTTTTGTGCCGTCTGCCACTCCTTCCCTGTCACTGACCATGACATATGTTCTGTTTTAAGAAACTAGAGCTGATATGGTCTATCTAATGCAATTTTCTGAATCAGCACCCCAAACTGAATCTAAAGTTGACCAAAAATGTGTAACCCTTTTGGTATTAATGTTGGAGAGTGGTCCCTAGTCAAGTGGTCCCTTTTCAAAGTGGTCACTGGTCAAAAAAAGGTTGGGAACTACTGATTTAAAGTAACAGTAGGCACTGAGTGGACAAGTTGAATGCAATTTGTAACTTTTATAGGTAGTATTTAGAGCTGCAGTTCAAGAATATTTAGAAGGAAATTTGATAGGAACTTTTAATAATGTCACCTTTCTAAAAATCGATTATTAATAACTGTTTGTTACTGCTCCTATGACTGCAATCCTCTCCCCAAATCTCTAAACAATATTTTCTTTTTTCTCCCTTCCAAACCCTTTTCAAAATGCATCTTTTGCAATATGCCATTTCTTAACAGCCTAATCTTCATTCTGAAGTGTAAGCAAAATTCTAAATTCAGAGATGGGAATCATGCAGTCCCCTAAAATGCTGTTTAACTATAATTTCCAGCAGTCATTGTCATTACAGCCAACTGTGGGCACTGTTGAAAACTGCTATCCAACAACAAGATTACCACCACTGGTCTAAGCAGATATATCCAGATTTCCACATATTTATCCTTTCCTACTCATATGTCATTTCCCCATGTAAAAATGTGCAGTAAAGTGAAGACAAACAATCATTACTACCTTTGATTTGTTTTCTCTTTTTTCTCCACAAGAGAAGTCCAAAGAGCAACAGTGAGAAAAAAACCATGGTTGACACAATGCCTACAATGAGCGCTGTGGAATTTGGATCAGGCTGAATCATCACTTTCCCAATAACAGCGGGTACAACTTCTTTCTTCCACTAAAAGGGGGGAAAAGAAAAGTAAAACTTCCAGTAAGTTTTTTAAAAAAAACACACTGACCAGCACTCACCATAATGTAGCTAAATTCCATTTGGGGAGGGTTATCACACTTTGGAGATACCCATGCAATTTGGATATGTAACTCTTTTCTCCTGCTGATTCTTGTTTATTTCTTAGCTTGATTTCCAGCAGGTAAGGCATTATTTACTTTTATTAATATCTACCACTCATGTTTCCAGACTGTGTCATTTATAATAGATAACATTGGCTAAACACACATTTTGGTGCCTCAAATTTTAGATCGATTCCTGGGTATATTTTTTGTTGGGTGGTGTAATAAAAATCCTTCTGAAGAGATATTAATTGTGTGCATCTTACACTAAAGCAGTGGTTCTCAACCTGTGGATCCCCAGGTGTTTTGGCCTACAACTCCCAGAAATCCCAGCCAGTTTACCAGGGGTTAGGATTTCTGCGAGTTGAAAGCCAAAATATCTGGGAACCCACAGATTGATAACCACTGTTCTAAAGCAAAACCATGGAGACGTGGGTTGTTTGGGCTGTTACAATAATTGATTTGGCAACTATAACTAGATGGGCACCACAAATTTGGCCCTCAGATCCAGAGCAGTTGTCTCCCTGCTCTAGATATCATCTCATTCTCAACAGTTCCACTTTGCACACCAATTTTACAATGATCTGTTTAGGTTTCACGTGTCTTAAGAGAAGAGGGAGGAATCAGATTTTGTTATATCCAAGAAAAGACTTTAAAAAAAATTATTAAGTATATTAAATGTTAATTAAAAGATCATATTACATTCCTGTTACACTAACAGAAATCCTAGTTGTTTACAGGTTTACTAACTGAAATACTGGCTTACCTATTTGCACTAATATTTTACTATAGCTGTGTAAATAATTACCAATCTGCTAGTCTGCATTCGGCATGCCGTTGCTAAAGACATGCTAATCTCAAGTGGGTTCCACATGAGATTAGCATCTTCAGCCTTTGCAAGGATCTCTGCCAATTTTGTTGTTTTGCTGGAAACTCAAATAAGAGCATTTTAACAAGAAGTAACAATAGTAAATGAAGGAAGCCAAATTATTTGATGTCAGTTGACAATATTACAATCAGCTGGAATGCACTAGGCAACTCCTCTGTCTTCATCTGTCTATAATGATGTTGCCCATCAGATATGCATGTTTTCCTTTCTTGCTGGGCACATAAAGAACATACAAATGGCATTAAAACAGTGGACAGTAGAAAAACCTGAAAATGCCTGTGTGCACTAATGAACACATACTGGCTCTATTAGTTTCATGTAAGATAGTATAGGCTGAGACATTGTGCAGCAGTGAAAGTAGAATATTGATTTTTTAAATTTATTTTTTTGCAAGTGTGGGTTCAATCATTGTTGGGATTCCTCAAATCTATGAGAGGAGATCACACAAGCTTACATCATGCTTGTTCAGGTACAATTCTTTCCATGTTAACAATATGAAAAACAGATCTTTTGATAAAAAAGTATTATCAGATTTTGTTTTTCAGTGCCCAGTGGACAATCTTGAAAATTTAGTATCTGAATCATCTGCTTTTGAAGCCATGGTGGGGCAGCTCTAACTTTGATTATTCATGCCCTCCCTCATGGCTTTTGAGATATTAATCCTCGAATCTTGGATGGGGGAGGACTTGATACATATATATGAATTTTCCCAATTAAATTGAAAGCACCTGGAAGAATAGAAATGGTCAGAAAGACCAAGGCAGGGGAGTATTAAAGCTTCCTCCTCTCAGAGCCATTACTCCAGAGCCCCCAGTGGCAAAATGGATTAAACCCTTGAGCCAGCAGGATTGTTGACCGAAAGGTCTGCAGTCCGAATCCGGGAAAGCAGGGTGAGCTCCCGTCTGTCGGCTCCAACTTCTAATGTGGGGACATGAGAGAAGCCTCCCACAGGATGGTAATACATCCAGGCCTCCCCTGGGCAACGTCCTTGCAAATGGCTAATTCTCTCACACCAGTAGTGACTTGCAGTTTCTCAAGCTGCTCCTGACACAGAAAAAAGCTACTACTCCAAACAAAAACTGAAGCTCTTCATATTTCTTTAAGCAAGGCAACCCAATTACAGGCCTTCTGCTAAGTGTGCACCTTGGAGGTTTTAACCTCCTTTTTAGTCTGAATGGAGGCTTGAGTGAGATCAGAAATTGTATCCAGTAGGCAGAGTGGCAATGACTATTTCCTCATGGGTGAATCTGTGAATCTTTCTTGATGGCTGAAAATCATCCACCTTGACCATTTATACAGATTTTATAATATATTTTAAAATATATTAAATTTAGATGAATACAGTACATTTAATTAAAATGAAACACCTTTCTTCTGCAAGCCTTTAGAAGTGGCAATTCTACTTTTAAATAGGGTGTACCTGCCACACCTTGCCCTTCATCTCTATAAAGGGGTTTCTTTTTGTGTGTGGTTTTGAAGGCTTGTTCAGACCATGGCAGATTCAGGGTTGTGGTGGTGGTGAATGGGTCCCAAAACATGCTTAAATCTGCTTTAAACTACAGACATTACTGCTATCTTATATATTTCATTGCCTTCTAGGGCCCCATCCACACAGCTGTATAAAATCCACATTGAACTGGATTATATGGCAGCATGGACAAAGATAATCCAGTTCAAAGTAGATACTGTGGATTATTTGCCTTGATATTCTGGATTATATGGCTGTGTGGAAGGCTCCTAAGGCACAATATGCCTTAGGATCCCATAATATCTGCTTTGAACTGGGTTATCTGAGTCTACACTGCATATATTCCAGTTCAAAGGAGATAATGTGGGATTTTATTTGGCTGTGTAGAAGGGGCCTGAAGGCCCTTCCACACAGCCCTATATCCCAGAATATCAAGGCAAAAAAATATATATCCCACAGTACAATAATCCCTTGCTACTTTGCAGTTCACTTTTTGTGGACTTGTTGTTTTGCGGTTTTTCCTTTCTGATACCAATGGGCTTCAGAAAGGGAGGCTGGTGTGCGGGCCAGGGAAGGCCTGCTGGTCACGAAGTGCAGCCTACTGCACTACCACGCCCCCAGAAGTGGCTCTGGAGGCGTTTATTGGGTGGACTCGCATGCGCACACAAACGCTTCTTATATATGCCCAATGGAAGTGGAGCACTTTCTAAAAGTTGCTGCTCAACTAAAGTGACTGAAGGATTTTGTTTATAAGGTAAAGGAAAAGGGTTATGTAGTGTATAAGTGTGTGGGGAGGGTTTATACAGACTGAAAATAGTGTATAACTTCTAAAATAATGTATAAATATTAAAATAAATATAGTGCCCCTACTTCACAGATTTTCACTTTTCGTGGGTGGTCCTGGAATGTAACACCCCCAATAAGAGAAGGAACATTGTATCTGCTTTGAACTGCGTTATCAGAGTCCACACTGAGATAATGTGGAATTTTCTGCCTTGATATTCTGGGATATAAGGCTGTGTGAAAGGGCCCTATGAGGAAAACTGCAAGAGGATTTTGGGTCCTTCCATACAGCCGTATATCCCAGAATATCAAGGCAGGAAATCACACATTATCTGAATGTGGACTCAAATAACCCAGCTCAAAGTAGATATTCTGGGATATAGGGCTGTGTGGAAGGGCCCTTTCTCTAATGCAGTGCCTCATATATGGGTAACCAAACCCCATGACTTTAGTTTAGCTTCCTCTTTATTTTCCACCAGGAACTGAAATCATTTCTTTTTGAGCATGCTTTTGAGTCTCTTGCTGCTTAACACAACATTAACAAAAAAGTTTTTCTGTATTAATGCTGCTTTTTCTATATTGAAGCTTGTTACGAAGATGGATTATAATTATTATTTTATTTTACTGTTAATTGAGTAACTCCTTTCTGGAAGATAATATAACATTTTACACAAGTTATTTTGGAAAATCTTTCCACAGAAAATCAAATTTGTATGTTAATGGGACTTTTCTATCACAACAACGGATAGAATTGGCTTAATTTGAGGGGTGGAGTGAGAAGTGTCCCATTAGGACTGATTTGGCAATATACTTCCAGCAGTCACAGCTGTCCAGCAAGATAAATTGGCTGCAGCAGGCAGATTTTTGCCAGAGAAATAAGGAATAAATTATGCCAACAGCCATGATGGAAAACAACCTCTTACCCCTTGTTTAATCACAAAGCATACCACATCAAAGCACATAAAAATTCAGTTCTACCGATTTGATTACTCTTGCATTTAAAACTGCAAGGATATTTACCATCAAGCAACTGTAAATTTGGCTATAATAGATAATAACTTATGATCCTGAAAATCAAAATGTGGAAAAACGACCCTGATGTGGTTTCCCCCCCTGAAAAACTGAACAGATTGTGGAAATGCCATGTTGACAATTATTAAGGGCAAACGTCGAGTCAGTCTGCCAAGAAGACTAGTTATTTTTAGACATGTCGAACTTTAGAGCAGAAAAGACCCCAGTTAACACCTCCAATTGCAGGTGACATAACAGTAGCACAGGATGGAGTATAATGCCCTTTCTCTCCACCATACAGGCAACATAGTCTTCTGTTGGAAATGACAACCTTCTTCAAGCCTTCTCTAGTAATGTTTATCTATGATCCTGTTACTTACTGTTTCCCCTATGTATGTTCTGGTATGCAATTTCCTGAGAAGTTACAAAAGGGGCTGCAGATCACATGCTCTCTCTCTCCACCTCCCTCCCTCCCTCCCTCTCTTATTTTGAATATGTGACCTGTTGGTAGCTGTTTTGTGATAAGAGAGATGCCCTGGCCAAATGGCACAGAGAATTATATCAAACATATTTGAAATGGGACTGATAAGTCTTGTACCTGTGTATGCTGAACACATGAAGCTTGTGAGTGATCCAAATATGTTACTTCCATCAAAGTCCACTTTTGTCTTTTGAGTGTATGATATAAAACAAGTTGTTTTATGGGAGAGTATACATTTTTGGCCACTGAAAAACACTTCTAAAGCTCTGCTGTTTTCTTATGCACTGGCAAAATCTCTGTTTTCCTAAAATACCAGAGATGACAGGTTATTCAGTCTAAGAACTGAAACCATTGCCTTGCATAATTATATCTGGTTGTATACCAGAAGAGAAGATTCTACTCTAAAGGGTTTTTGGCTCTTCTCTGAAAGATCATGCTTTTCTAAAAGTTATGATCGCCAAAAAGTGTTTTCCAAAAGGTTATAAATGCCATTTTCCAAAGCTTTCACTGTGTGTCAGGCTGTCCATGTCAACACCCAACTGCCAAAAGGGGGGAAAGTACATGGATGAAAGAATGATAGAGGGACAAGATCAGGAGAAAGCTGTGTGATGGAGTGAAGAGACTTAGGCGACATGCCCACCATGTTACTTTAAGTGTTGTATCCAACTAAATACATAAAACTGGAAAAAAAGGAAGAAGCATAGTGCATGAAATCCCCAAACAGGATTGGGGCCTGATTCTGAAACTAAAATAGTAATAACAGGTAAATACCATTAGATACATTGTACAAATGAAATATCCTACCACTATATTCAGTTCACTGTTGGTATCCAGGAGCTCCTTAGGAACTGTACAAAAAATAGATTGCAACTTCAAGGTGATATTCTCACAGCTCTTGTTTCCAACTTTTAGCACTTCACCTTTAACTGCTTCCGAGTCAAGGTTATGTCCCTAAGAAAGCAAAATAAAAAATAATTAGGGGGGGGGGGCATTGAAAACAATATGAAAGCTTTATCAAATTCGATTCATTTTTCATCAGTAAGCTTCTTTATTTCACTCACAATTCAAACACAAGATTGAAAAAGACATCAGTTTACACTCATTACTTCCTTAGCTTTAGAAATACAGTGAATTTCTGAATTGATTAGAATGCAATACACAGAGGCTGACGACTGGCTGAAACCCTGTATATTTTACATCCTGTTGTGCCCACATATTACCCTTACTACTAGTCATAATAGTGTATTTTTATTTATTTGTTATTATTTATTTTATTTTATATTCTGTCATTTTCCCAGTATGAGACCCAAGACAGTGTTGCTATATGCTATATCCTGATGCATCACTCCTGTCCATATGCAAATAAAAATCAAGCTGTTAAATCACTGACACAATGAAACAAGTGGTAGATCGGTTGCAGATTTCAACTATTGAAGGTGTTCTGGGAACAGGGTTTAGTACATTGGAACGCTCCTTTAAAATATGGACTAGTTTTTTTTAGCCCAAAACAAATTCTCTGCCCCCAAACTATGGAGCCACTGACAACCACTGGGGATGTCTATGGGAGGCTGAAATGGGACTGGTATTAAAAGGGCCTTCCATGAAGATGCACACAGGACATGTCATCTCAATATGCATAATTATTTAAATATATATTTCCAAAATACTTTGAACTAAGATTAATTTTAAATTATTGCCTCAGAACAATGTGGCCTTTAGAACACACTGGCATAAGCTGAATCCTCGGAAATTATTTGGATGCTTTAGTTTTGGCCATACAACAATCAAGTGGAATTGTTACTAAATACACTAGCAAAGTTAAATCTTGTTAAATTGCACCTAAAACGTGAACTTCACCTGCACAAAATTAATTGCATTTCCAAATGGACACAAAAATCCATTGCCGAGGGTTATGGTAATGTGCTATGACCTACAAGTCTTAGAATAAAACTCTCTGAAAGATTTGTTATTTTGAATGGCATTGGGAGGGCTAGGGATTCTAAACATTTCCTTGACAGTATCAGAATGACAATATAAATTGTCATTCAAAATGCTTATTGAAATACAGCATGCTGTGTAGAAAGTGTGATCCTTGGCTCAAGCTGTGTAAGTGCAATGACTGGCCATTAGAACAGGATGGGGTCCTATGGCAAACACCCGATTATGTTTGCTATATATGGAAACATACATTGTGACACATGGAGAGATATTATGATACTAACACATACCATATCCCCATCCTCCTGACATTCATCAATTGCACTTGAGATGTAATATTGCATCTGAATACAAGAACAATCTCAGAGATATCATTTTTTGATATTATAGTTGAATTTAAGTAGAGCAATGCATGGCTGGACTATGCTTTGACCGATCAACTGTGCTATGTGACCCAGAGATGGAGGAAAGATAAAGCAGTAGAACAAGTGATATCACAAGTTACTTATTTCTGTTTATTAAATGGACACTAGAGTTTTACATAAGTGTGCAAAAATCCCAATTAAAATATGAAAACAAGTCAATTAAAATTATAGCAGTATAAGCAAATTATAACCAAAATCAATTATAACCCATATCATCAGTTAACAAACCAGTTTAAATGCCAAAGACCATTGTCTACCAGCAGAAGGCCAACAGAAACAGAGCCAGCTTAGATTTTAATGCCAGGCAACTTCAAAATCTGAGAAAGCCTACTGTTGCACCTCTGACAAATGTCTCACATGGAGACAAGATGACAGACAGTGTGGTATAGTGGTTTCTATGTTGGGCCAGGACTCTAGGGGCCTGTCCAGACAGTAACTTTATCCCAGGAACTCCCGCAGCAAACAGGAGGGTAGCCAGATGCCATTTCCTCAAAACACGGAAGCAATAGCTACAAATGGTAAAAAATTTCAAATGTCTTTATGTCCCTGCACTCGGAAATCACGGAATTTTTAATCTAGTTTTGCTCCCAGGTTTTATATTATTCTCCTGATTGGTCAGTTCCTAAAAAGAAGGTGACAGTTGAGTAGAAGGCAAAAACTTTGTTTGTGTGCCAGAAACTTCCTGAAATGCATGTAGGACAAAGTTTTGGCCCCCTAGTCAGCATTGTATATCTTTTTACAATAAGAACAATCAGGAACAGCCATGCATAACCCAGGAACAGCATGTTCCATGCCACAAGTACCAAATCTGTCTTCAAAGATGGCCAGGCACCCAAACTCTAAAAGTGTCAATAATGACAAAATTCTATTCCTGGCTTGAAAGTGTTTGTTCCTGTTTGATTGTGTAGTGTTGACTTGGGCAGAAGTGGTTCTACCCCACAAACTTTATTAAACACATTTAGGGCAAAGTTTCTCTGGACAGGACAAAGAATGGAACTTTTGCAGCGATTCACGTATCCACATCTTGAGAGTTTTTTAAAAAAAAAATGCCAAAGTTTCTAGTGGACATCCTGCGACTGCCATTTTGTGGCCTGCAAAATACCACAACAGAGCATCAAGTGTGGATGATGGAGGCAGAAATCCCAGATCCAGCAGGTCTGTACGTGGACCTCTTCTGAAGTCCCGGGATTTTTTGCCCCTTGCCAAAACCTGCAATTTGGTGCTGTCTCAAAGCGCCCAAGGAGATCAGGGTTTAAAACCTTATTCAGCTATGGAAACCTTCCTCAAAGGAAGGCACTGGCAAACTCCTTCTGAATAAATCTTGCGAAGAAAACCCTGTAGTAGGTTCACCTTAGGAGCACTATAAATTGGAATGGATTTGGAGGCACACACCATGAACAACAAGTAGTGACAGGGCAACAAGAAGGGGCACATCTAACTAGTTTTAACACCTATGTGAATATTAGCATCTCCCATTCAATGGAAGACTGGGTCGTAAGTCACATAAAGCTTTATACGTTATGGTTAACATTTTGAATTCTGTCTGGAAACAGAGTGGTAGCCAGCACTAATAAACCTGTGTATTGAAGATTTATGTTTATTTATGTCTGATTGTATATATGGTTTTATAGGGTACTGTTTATGTATGCTGGATCTGTATTGTTTTTAAAATGTTCTGAGCTGCTTTGGGTCCCGCTTAGGGAGAATAGCGGGATATAAATAAAGAATTATTATTATTATTATTATTATTATTATTATTATTATTATTATTATTCCTGCATCAATAATAGCCTGACCACAGCACTTTGGAGTATATATTTCCAAATACTTTTCAAAGGCAGTCCCACACAGAACATGTTGCACTAGCCCAAACTGGATGAAAAAGAGCTATATGTCAGCAGGACTCAACCATCCATTTCCAGAAATAAGTAGTCTTTATATTGGTCTCATATGGATCCCAGTCACCACTGAAATCTCAGCATGCAGTTTGAGAGATGAATCAATAAGTATACCACCCACACTGTGAATCTCTTGCTTTGTTGTGTTATTACTCTGAATTGGTGTTTACGCAGTATGTGTAACTGTTTGAACCATGAGGTTATATTTTACAGGTTACACAGACCACACAGACTTTATAAAATATTAGATGTGCACTATGAACATCTTGGTGGCCTCTGTTTATTCAGTTTAAGAAAAGCATTATATGGTTCAGTTTATGTAATCAGGCATTCTGCTATACGCATAATTCTTTGGAAATCTGAAGCAGAGATTACTTTGGTTTGGAAGGTATTTACCGAGACAGGGGCAGAAAAGCTGTAAGACAGGACATCATGTACTTTTTCCTCTGAAGGGAGGGAAAAAAGAAGCACAGGCAATACAATAGAGGTTTTGTTCTTGATTAGGACTCAGGCATCACTACATTGTCAGTAACTTGATAATGATTACCATTTATAAAATGGCAATAAAGAGTTATGCAAAGAAACTGAAACTGGCCTGATGATTCAGACTCAAATACCATGTCTGTGTTTCCTGGATAATGTACAACCTTCATATCCATATAAAGTACTTCCAAGATGAGGCAAAAGGTGATTTCAAAAACCCAAATCATGGACTGCAGCAGTTCTATTCGCCAACCTGCTTATATGTTGCAGTGTTTCATTACATAAGTTTTCCTAGGAATGCTTTTAAAAGGATGAGTGTAAATCAAAGATGGGAATAATGGGGCCTTCCAGATTTTATCTCCAAGAATTTGCTTTGCTGACAAAGAGTGATGGGAATGGTGTTCAACAAAATACAGGAGGCCAGAAATTCACCAGAACTTGTTTAAACAAATGCTCTAAATAAACAAGTAACCGAAACATTTCCAATTCTATGCCCAAACAATTATCTGTTATCAGTTGTTGCGGAGCACCTGATGGCACAATGGGTTAAACCCGGCAGGACTGTTGATCGACAGGTCAGTGGTTTGAACACAAGGGGAGCGGATTGAGCTCCTTCTGTCAGCTCCAGCTCCCCATGTGGGGACATGAGAGAAGCTTCCCACAAGGATGGTAAAACATCAAAAACATCAGGGCATCCCCTGGGCAACATCCTTGCAGACGGCCAATTCTCTCACACCAGAAAGCGACTTGCAGTTTCTCAAGTCGCTCCCGACACATACAAAAAAACCTGCTGGGGTAGGGTGGAAGAGACAGGAGTGCATCTACACTGTGTAACAACAACAACAACAACAACAACAAAACAACAATAATAATAAAAATAATAATTTTATTTTTATACCTCGCCTCCATTTCCCCGAAGGGACTTGGAGCAACTTACATGGGGTCAAGCCCAAATAACAGAGTTAAAACATAGCACATTAGAGTGCATAGCAACAATTGAAAACAACATAAAAGAACATTATACAAAATATAAAGCAAGCATCAAAACCCAACAACAATAACATAATTCAAGCTTCAATATGGGTGGGCAGCCTGGTGCACAACAGTTCGGATGATAGGACCAATGAGTAAGTGCATAGGGTGTGTAGCAGCGTTAAGGATGAGAGCAATATAAAAGATGCCATGGCTCAATGCTTTGGGATTGTGGGCATTTTAATTTGGTGAGGCACCAGTACGCTTTCGGCAGAGAAGGCGAAAGACCTTGAAAAATACAGCTTCCCGGATCCCATAGCATTGGCCAATGGCAGTTAAAATGGTGTCAAGCTGCATTCGTTCTACAGTGTAGATTCACCCAGGGAAAGATTTAGCCTGGACAAGAGTATCCTGACTGTTTCCTCTTACAATGGAAGCTGTAAACAAACCATACATATCAGCCTGTGGTTTGCTGTTTAGCTATGCCCATTAAGAAGCAGCAGTCAATGATATGAATTATTTTTCAGTCAAGCCATTGAAACCAACCCAAGATATATCTAGGTGAAAAACATGCTAGATTATCACAGTATCCATTTGTTAGTTTATCCGTGAATCTGCTTGGGGTTTTAGTATAAATTTTAAGATCTATCCAAAGTGCTGAACTATTTCAGTACCTTGGATAGTTTGGGACTGATTTACCATCTCACTGACATCACAACAACCAGCCATTGTTGGCATGCCACCTGCTGCTACAGCTGGACTGCATAACAAACCACAGGCCAAGAAATGCTGTTTTTGCAACAAATTGAAATTGGAAGCTAAAATACTGGCCCAATACCAAAATACTACAGACCGTCAGTGAGCCTTGAAAAATCATATGGATTGGATGGCCTTTTCCTAATGGTTTTCATGGCTGCTTGTTTTTGCAAAATTATTAAATTGGACTGCTCAAACTGTTATTTAAAATGTTATTAGAGGTCATTAGCCTGAACTTTTAAAAACTGCTGCTGAAGAATTGAATTAAAAGCTGTTGGATGGTCAACATTTTATTTTATGTTTTGGGTTGTACGCCACATTGTTAGAGTCATGTCTTACGAGATAGCTTCAAATATTTACAAAAACAAGAGATGGCTGCATAAATAGGTTTTTGGTGTCATATTTAATAGAAGAACATTGTTCTCTTTGAGTTGGATAAAAACAACATTGTGGTTTGTATATATTCACTTGCTGGAAGCAAAATGTGCCACATCAGATTAATTTTCCTGAAAAACCAAGTGATAAAGGCTCTGCCGTTCTTCTGAAACTAATTAAGAAAATAGATAAAAGAATTTTGGTTTTGGAAGAATTGTTTGTTCACTGAACCAAGTGGCCATTTAATTTCATGCTGTGCTTGCTTAATTATTGGTCGACAAAATATGATCATGAGGCATGTAAACTTCTGTTTTTCTGTGTACATAAACTCATAGTGCTGCCAATCCGGCCCACAGTGACCTTTTGACTGAAGGAACTCAAAAGCTGGCCCACAGTTTATGAGTGCTTCTCACTTTGTGTTTCAACTTGTGGGGGAGGAGGCTGAACAATCATCGTTTATCCTATATTGCATTTCTCATTTTAAATGGGAATTAACTGGTTATTTCATTTAAGGGTGCAGTGAACATTGGTGCAAGGTTTTTAGTTAAGGGTATAGCAATATTCACAATCTACAGGGTAAGCTTAGATCAAAGCAATCCATGTTAGTCTCCTAACAAGGATGGTACAGAGATAGAAGTAAGAATAAATATATATTTTCAGCGTAGATATTTATTTATTTATTTATTTATTTATTTATATTAAGTTTTATATACCGGCCTTCTCACCTCTCTTGAGGGACTCAGACCGGTTTCCAACCATAATATCACATACAGTTAATAAAAACATAATTCATTTTACACTAAAACATTAAAACAGCAATTACATTCAATAACTACAATGGTCAGTCGTCACACTAACTCGTTGTTCATCATCCTCCATCCATATCTGGCTCACTCGTCGAATGCCTGTCTCCATAACCAAGTCTTCACCTGTTTCCTAAATGTCAGGATAGACGGGGCGGTTCTGATCTCCAGTGGGAGAGAGTTCCAGAGTCGAGGGGCCACCACCGAGAAGGCCCTGTCCCTCGTCCCCACCAGACGCGCTTGCGAGGCCGGTGGGACCGAGAGCAGGGCCTCTCCAGACGATCTTAATAATCTTGATGGTTCATAGGGGAGAATACGTTTGGAGAGGTAAACAGGGCCAGAGTCGTTTAGGGCTTTATAGGTTAACACCATAAAGATAGATCTACTTTTAACTCCCAAACTTAATTGGATAAGAAAACAGAAGTACCGTTAAATATTTCTACAGCCACATAGTACCTGTTCACATGCATGTAGGCCAAATACGCAAGTTATAGTAAGTCTATGGGAGATGATCAGAATACAATAGTCTTGTCGGTTGCTTCTGACCAAATGGCTTCCCAATACTATACATACATACATACATACAGGTATTTATATTCCACCTTTCTCACCATGAAGGGGACTCACAGAACACATATATGGCAAACATTAAATGTATATAGGTAGAATATATGAATATACGCTTCCCCATCTTCAGCATCTTGGAGGTTGTGCTCGGTTCTGGTCACCCGGGGAGGGGGGGGGGTGCTGTTGCTCCACTTTCCCTCCCATAGAGCTTTGTTAATAAACTTCCTCATTGATGGAATTGCTGGCATTTTTCTCGCATTTCCTTACGGGTGTCTTAAAATACCTCCCCGCTTAAACGGTACCTATTCACCTACTCACATTGCTGTTTTCAAAACTGTTAGGTAGGCAGAAGTTGGGCTAAAGGCCAAGAGCTCACCTTGACCCAAGCTTCGAACTGTCAACCTTTCTGTTGGAAAGATTTGCTGCAGCTGGTGGTTAACCTGCTGTGCTAAAGCCCTGCCCTCAACAAGTTTTATTCTTAACAAGTTACATATCTCTGAAAAGCCCAGAATGGAAAAAGCCTATTTGTCCCATGTATAATTGCTTACCTTAATCATTATATTTCTGTTGTTCTTTGAGATCAGCACTGGTTTCTCTGAGGAGATAAAGATCGGGTCGTTCACATAATCAAAGTTGAAACCAGATGCGATGACACCATCAAAAATGAAAAAGACCTTTGTCACAAAAGGCAGTGTCAGATTCGAGGATTTCAGTGAAGGAGTTGGGCAGCAGATTATTTCAGAATTCGAGCGATGGTTACATGCCTGCAATATAAACAGAAACAAAATATTTAAGTACCAACGACAGGCCTGAAACATTTTATATGAAAGGCTGTGGATTTCACCTTTCTGATGTACTGTGTTTAAAAGGAATGGTGGAAATATCAGTGATAATTCCTTTTAATGTAACACAAATTTACCCATGATAAAACTTCACACTTATATGATGAACTACTGTTCAACCATGAGTGTACTTGGTCATGCCTAGCTAGTACAGTTATCAAAGAAAAAAATAGTTTAACCATGATATATTAGAGCAAGATGAAAGTCTATGGATGTTTGTTTTAGAGATAAATTAATGTTTTCTTCTATCTTTACATTGCTGTTTTCAAAACTGACATTGCAGAATTCCAGTTCAATATTAATATTCAAAATCTACCTTTTAAAATCTAAATTTTGACCCATTTCATATTCCATGCATTCATGCTGGTGTCAAACAAAGCATAGGGTTGCTGTGAGTTTTCCAGGCTGTATGGCCATGTTCCAGAAGCATTCTCTCCTGACGTTTTGCCTACATCTGCAGCAGGCATACTCTGAGGACATTCAGACTTGCCTCAAACAGACAAGAGTTCTTTCCCCCCACCCTGGACATTTCACAAATATATAAACTCAATTTGCTTAGTTTCCAACAGACCTCACAATCTCTGAGGATGTCAGGAGAGACTGCTTACAGAAACCCAGTGATTCCGGCCATGAAAGCCTTTGTTAACACATTAAACAAAGCATGGTTTACCAGTCATTGCAAAGTACTAAGCAATTCAGCAGGGTGTACTTAAAAGTTGTTGTTGTTGTTAATTATGATAATAATAGGAAAATATGGATAGACAACAACTGTTGCTGCTGCTGCTGCTATTACTACTGTGCCTTTTCCTCATATCAGGACTCAAAACAGCTTATAAAAACTATAAAAGACACTGTCAAAAATTAAATGGCACAACAAATAGCAATATCCAACACAATGTGTAAGAAAAGTTTCCAAACATCTTTACCAAAGAAGTAAAAGGGAAATGTGGACTACAGAAGCTTGAGTTTCATTAGACTGCCTCTCATCATGATAAACCATGGTCATTTTTATTAATCCTATAAAATATCCACATTTTGAGGAAAATATTTGTAATCAAATCGATACACGCAAAAAAAAAATCCAAACCAAAATAGATGATAAACCTGACCCTCACTAATGTGGAGATTCTGATGCATTTTATGACTGATTCCAGCCCAAATTACACATTGTCCTGGATCCACAACTAACAGACCCTTAAAAAAATTAAAACAAAATTAAAGGGTGAAGTGGCATTATATAACATTGAACATTTATGTTCCAGATCATCTACGACCCCTTTTACTTCTCTAAACATCAAATTAGGTGCCATTTGAAGTCTGTAAACTCAGTTTGATGGCCAGCATGGTATAGTAGTTAAAACACTGGGCTGTGGAGGCTTTGTTGTGTGTCTTGAGGTAGCTTCCAACGTATGGCAGCCCTAAGGCAAACCTATCATGGAGGTTTCTTGGAAAGATTTGTTCTCTCTCATCTGAGACTGAGTGCTCATGACTCACTTAAGGTCATTGAGTGGGCTTCCATGGTCAAGCAGGGATTTGATATGTCTCCAGTGTTGTAGTCTAATGTTCAAACCACTACATCACATATATGGCTCTGGAAAACAGGATTCAAATTCTTGCTCCGTCATGGAAACCCAATGAGTAACTCACACGTTCTTAGCCTCGGAGGGAGGCAGGGAAAAGACTGCCAAATGGTGCTAAGAAAACTGTGTGACATGCTTTCCTTAAAGTTGCCATAAATCGAAAATGACTCAAAGACACATAACAACAACATTCTCCATGTCTTTTCCCTATAGACCAAATAGCTCTGTGAGATTATCATTTATAACATAAAAACAGTGCAATAGTGCAGGATTAAAGGAGTTAAATGTCTCCCGCTCCATCACATTCACCTTCCAATCAAATTGTTGGCCACCCATGCAGTTGATTAAAGTAAAAAGATAGAAAAAAACTGGAGATCAACCAAGGTCTTGCCAAAGTAATGTGTAGTTGTCTCTCCAAAATGTGAATAAAGGAGCTGACCCCTGTCACCTTTTTCTAAACTCATTTGCACATAAAACCTCCCTAGAATTAATTTGAGGCTCTTGGTTCATATGTCCCTGGGAAATTCTGCTCCAATTGCATCCATTTTCATTAGACAGAGCAGGATGAATAGTACATGGCAGAGAACTGTGGCCTTTTATTCAACGGGAGCAACAAGAAAAATAAACCTGCAATGGAATTCAGTTAAGACAATGGAAAAAAAACATTCCAAATGCCTGCCAAAATGCTATGGGCACCTCAAGCTCAAAACTGGCAACCATTAGGAATGTTTTTTCCACTGTCCTACCTAAATAAATGTAGAGTTACTGAATCGTGCATTTGGCAAAGGGTGGGAAGGTCAAAAAGAGATCTTTCTACACAGCACTTGCTCAGCTAAAAGCCATTTATCTCCTACGCTAGAAATTGTCTTATGTTTGCTGCCTAGAAAATCCAAATTTTCCACTCAAAATAAACCACACAAAAACCAAAACATATGCTAGTTCTTTTATTTTATATAACCTTTGAAGCCAAACTATATTTGCATTTTGTGCTACAGTCCATGCAAAAGCTGCTCCCCACACAAGGAAGTTTGCCTAAACTAGCTCTGCATGCAGTTCCACTTGTTGAAGTTTCCTTCTCATTTTTATAGTTCTTTTTCCCTCCTCTTTTTCTTTTGCCAAGTGACATGGCTCTGATTCTATGAACTGAAATGAGCAAGACTGGATTGTGTACATGCACACATATTTCCCCCCCCCCCAGTTTTAATGTGTGAGCATACATCTATATAAATAAAAATGTAATGTTCGTTTGTGGGATTAACATAACTCAAAAACTACTGGACAATTTAACACCAATCTGAACACATTACACCTATCAGGCCAACAAGTGACAATCACTCATAAAAACACAGAAAAACACAGCAGAAGAGACTTAAAAAGCCAAAAACCAAAAAATACATTACAATGCATGCACAAAACCACATATATACACAAACACACGTATATACACATATACACAAATATATATACACACCCACATATGCACACATATACACACACACATACACAAAACACATATACACAGACTGGGCCACAGCAACGCGTGGCAGGGGACGACTAGTCTATATAAATAAAAATGTACTGTTTGTTTGTGGGATTAACATAACTCAAAAACTACTGGATGAATTGACACCAGTTTGGACACATTATACCTATCAGGCCAACGAGTGACCATCACTCATAAAAACACTGAAAAATACAGCAGAAGAGACTTAAAAAGCCAAAAAAATAAAAACTACATTACAATGCATGCACAAAACCACATATATACGCAAACACACATATACACACACAAAACACATATACAAAGACTGGGCCACAGCAATGCGTGGCAGGGGATGGCTAGTAGAATCATAGAATTGAAAGAGACCTTGTGGGCCATCCTGCCCAACCCCCTGCCAAGAAGCAGGAAAATTGCATTCAAGGCACCCCCGACAGATGGCCATCCAGTTTCTATTTAAGAGCTTCCAAAGAAGGAGCCTCCACCACACTCAGGAGCAGAGAGGTCCACTGCTGAGCAGCTCTCACAGTTAGGAAGTTCTTCCTAATGTTCAGGTAGAATCTCCTTTCTTGTAGCTTGAAGCCATTGTTCCGTGCCTTAGAGTCCAGGACAGTAGAAAACAAGCTTACTGTCTATGCAGGCCAAAATCCCATTGGCTTTTTAAGCTCCCGCATGACATTGTTAGCTTATATTTAACTCGTTGTCCACGAGGACTCCAAGTATCAAGTGGCTTTCAAGTAGAACAATAATGACAAAAGGATTGTATGAAACAATCCCTGCTTGTATGTTCCTAACATAATATTGCCTCCAGGATCTTTGTCAAGTAAGTGTCAGGAGAAAGAGGATTCTAAATGGTCTAAATGGTCCACTACCATATGACAAAGATGATAGCGAAAAACATGTGCATAGGGTAGAATGTGGGCACAACAGTAGCTAGGATCAGTCTACTTCTGGAGGTAGTAAGCTCATTCTTACAGGAGGTATTTCCATGAAACCATGAAAATGAACAAAATCTGGCTACTAGTATTTTAAAAACATCAGGACAGTAAATAAAGAGCAACACTCAAAAAACAGGGGAATTCCAGACAGGAAATAATCAGAGGCAGGAACACCTCCCAACAAATGATTCCCCCAGGCAGAAAGCAGCCAGGCTTTGAAGCTGCAAGGCCATTAAATGCTAATCAAGGTGGCCAATTGCAACATTCACATCGGCCTCCAACAGACAAGAGTTCTTTCTCCCACCCTGGATATTCCATAGATATATAAACCTCAGTTGCCATGTTTCCAATGGACCTCGCAACCTCTGAGGATGCCTGCCATAGATGTGGGTGAAACATCAGGAGAGAATGCTTCTGGAACATGACCATGCAGCCTGGAAAACTCACAACAACCCATAATTTATTTTAATCCCATAAACTTCATAGTACAACTAGTCTGGATCAATCCAGAAGTTTTATACTGAATCAATGGAGACTTAGTAAATCAACACTTACTGAAGTTTTACTTGCTGAATGGATTTACTTCAGTTAAGACCCACGATTGGAATTAGGTCTTTGTGTCCCATAAAATAGGCAACATTAAAGTAATAGCAGTATGGCACTGGCTAAATTATGTGACCGCAAGCTATTCCTTCATTGGTTACTGGCAATCTTGAAGTTGGGGATTGGTTAGATAGATGAAAGAGGCCTTCTTAGTCTTTATGAACACTTTCAGAAGAGGAATATATTATTTTAATAGGCATTCCATGTTTTATTTCCCTGCCTGGTTGTAGTTCCTTGTTGTTAAACATGCTTTTTTAACAGCTTGCTTGAGTTTCCACTGCACTATTTCACTACTGTGTTGTTATGGTATTATTTATTGTTTATTTCCACTTTGTATGACTTGTTTTGTAGAGGAATTATTTTGCAAGTGTCTTATAAATGCCGACAGTTAATAATGAATTATATTTAAACATTTACTGTATCCTACATTTAAGGAACTCAGAATGTCGATGACTGCATGAAGAAACATTTGTATGCATCAAAACAAATCCCCGGCAATCATTACAGCGATTTCATTAGGGTAAATTTATTGCACGTCTTATCTACTGTAGAGTACCGATGTCTCTTAAATTAATAACACAGCATTTGTAACCTAGTTTGTGGGCATCTATCAAAATACTCTATCGCTCTTTAGTTTATTATGCTACCTTCCAAAAAGGATGCTTTCAGAGCATGAGAAAAAAATCTAATAATATTGTTTAGTGGTGATGCAATGTGACTGATTGGGAAGGTCAAGAGAAATTGCATTTGGAGTGCCCTTATTCCTATGTAATTTGAGTTGACATTTTTACTTTGAAATTCATTGCAACCATTGAAAAATAAGATGCTTTTCATGAAATACTGGATTGATAACCTATGCATGAAAAAAACCCAATCAAATCCAATCTACTCAAGCGTAAATTAAGATGCTGCCGATTTAATTTGGGTTTTAAATGTGTTTACTGAAAATGTTTATATTCTGTTTCAAGGCCAACCATTCTTTTGAATGGAAGTAGAGTAATTTTCCAAAAATGAAATATTACTGAAATATTTATTTCTTTATTATTTATCTACAGTATTTATATACTGCTTTTCTCACTCCTGGGGGGTGGGGGTGGGGACTCAAAGCGATTTAAACAGAAATAATGGAAAAATTCAATGCCTTACATACATAAACCAGATCACAAACCAACCACATATAACTAAGTATAAAATCAAATACTAAATATATTTTAAAAGGGCCAAAGGAAAGGGGAAAGAATTCTTCATAAAATGTATGTAGCTTACAACACAATGGACTATCTATTGTTCCTTCAACACTAATCATTACCTGTGGGACAAAAATGCAGACATGACCAGAAAACCTGAACTCCAGCATCTATCCTTACTGTAATTTAAGTATTGCAGTAAGAGGATAAATATGGAAAAACATCTATATATTTGAGGTTACCACTTAGTAGCTGACCCAGATGAAACAAGGGGGAAAGAGGTGGTGTGTTTGAGAACCCCGACCATCAGGACAGCCCTGAGGGTAAAAGCCCTTTGACACAGAATCTAAAACATTTGTACTTTATGATGCTGGAAGGGAAGATTAGGCAAGAAAAAGGGAATAAAAATAGATGGATATGAAAAGGATCGAAGTGTGGCACAGACTGATGCATCTGTTCAACTGCAAGACTTTTTCCTGACCTTGTCAGCTTCACTAGAGATGAAGTGAAGATGGCAAGGAAAAGAAATGACAGGGAGGGCATATGGAAAGGGACCAGAACCAGAGAGGATGGTTGCATAGATGTATACGAGTTTTGGGATGTAACATTCCAAGCTTATTAAAACCATTTTTTCAGAAATGGTAGTAGCATCAACTCATCTGTACTCTTCCCCCATTGCTACTCTCTGTATTATTTCTTTGCTGGTCTCATAATTTCAAAAGTTGATTAAACCATGGTATGAACTATAGTTAGGATTTTGGTCACTTCTGGGGATTACAACCAGACACAGTGAAGACATCTGCCCTTGTGCTTTGCTACTCTGCTGCTGAATACGCATGCCCAGTGTGGAATACATCTCACCATGCTAAAACAGTGGATGTTGCTCTGAATAAGACATGCCGCATTATCACAGGATGTCTGCACCCTACACCACTGGAGAAATTACACTGTTTAGCCAGCATCACACCACCTGACATCCACCAGGAAATAGCAGCCAATAATGAAAGGACAAGGCAGTGACATCTCCGGCCCATCCTCTGTTTGGTTATCAGCCAGCATGCCAATGGCTTAAATTAAGAAACAGCCTCCTAAGATCGAGACATGCTCATAGCAATACCTCAGCAAGTGAGAGTCCAAAAGTGGCAGTTAAAACCCAGCACCTTAAGCAGTGGCTGAGACTGGATGAGAAACTCCCTCCTGGGCACACAAAAGATTGGGCAACCTGGAGGGCACTGAACAGACTGTGCTATGGCACCATGAGATGCAGAGCTAACCTTAAGAAATGGGGCCACAAAGTTGAGTCCACAACATACGAGTGTGGAGAACAGCAAATCACAGGTCACCTACTACAATGCAACCTGAGCCCTGCCCCATGCACAATGGAGGACCTTCTCGCAGCAACACCAGAGACACTCCAAGGGGCCAGCTACTGTTCAAAGGACATTTAGCATAATGCCAACTTTTTTAACTTTGTGTTTTTTAAATGCATTTTAACTGTATTTGCTTCTGATACAATAAATAAATAAATGGAAATATACTCAAATGATTACAATGTGACTTGCTTCTGAGTGAACATTCATAGGATTAAGCTGCATTCCCTTTGAAGGTAGACATGTACGCATCAAATGTTAGCGCTTAAGATGAAAGCTTACCACAGTAAAGTTTCTGCCTAGCTTAGGGACTGTGACCACCATCTTTGGAGAGAATGCTGAATTCAAGTTGCTCCCCTGGGCTGTAATTGTACTTCCGCCACTGACAAAGACAAAGAAATAGGATTCTTAAGAAAAAGGTAACTGTTTTCATTTGAATAGAACTCAATGCATTCTTTGGGACCGGCATCTTAGAAAGACATTGTGAAATAAATCAACATGGAAACATGTTATAAGCCACATTGCATCCTATTCTGGTAGAGAGAGGTGACATACATTCAGAAAATAGATAAAATTAGCAAATGGCATAACTGTGACCAGCTTCCATCTGGAAATCTATGTCCTCAATGTGAAAGACCATATTGATCCAGAATAGGTCTTCACAGACCTATTCAATGTAAAAGACCATGTAGATCCAGAATAGATCTTTGCTGCCAAGACTGTACTCTACCTCTTGAAGACAATCATACTTGGCCATGAGTAATTGCCCATGATGATGGAGCACTGGGTGCTTTTAATGGTCATTGTAACAAGTATCTCACTTCACATTCACATGATTTTAATTGCTGGGAAAATGCAGCAGAAATAAAACCTTTAATAGCTTCCAGTAGCATATTCTATTTTTATTGATTGACCACACAGATGTTCCCTCCAGTTCTTTCAAAGACTGGCTGATTAGGAAACAGAGGCCAGGAACAATTGTATTTTTTGTTTGGTCCAGCTACTTTCCATAGACTGGCAAAACAGCACTCCCTTATGAATCTTGAAAAACCATTCATGGAGCAATGAAGCTATCTGTAGCAGGTTTTTGACACACAGGGAACCACAGCAGGAGGGAAGAAAAGTGTCAATTTCACTGGTGTTAGATATAGATGTACATCACAGGATCTCAATGAATTGGAAATTGGCCTGGGAAAGCAGGCCTCACTTCTTCCCCTCTTGCATCCGAAGTAGATGCGATCAACCGACTTAGAAGATTTTGTAATCATCTGAATTGTGCTTTTGGGAGAAGAGGAGAGGAAGCATTACAATTTCAAAAGATCTGAAAATAAACCAAATTTAAATCCATGCACTATTTCCAAGCTTAAGAATTTATTTCTGTCTTCGATTAGAAGGACTTGCAGTCATAAATTACTAATGTTCAGGGCATTATCATTTCTAAATATGGCCCAAGGAAGGAGGAATTAATGCAACACACCAGAGTTTCTATCCTTAGAAAAGTGGTTCCATCTGTAAGAATGGTTAATTAATGCTGCTTATACGGTTTACTCTTCATTAGCATTTTGTGTGATTTGTGTTAGTCAACATTTAGGGACAAGACACTAGAGCTGTCAAACTCATTTTCATCGATGCCACATCAGCTTTATGGATGTCTTCAAAGGGCCGTTGAATCCATGGATGGAGAATTCATGGATTCAGAGGGCCAACTATATTTTTTACATAGGGATTGGTGTTATTGTGAAGGGAGAACTCTGTATACTCTCAGTGGTTCCCTTGTCTTCTGCTCTCAAGAGGGCAGTGCAGGGATGGATCACACAGATGAGTTGAGTCAGAAAAGAAAGTTTTATTTTCTGGCCAAGCAAATGATAACAGCTAGTCTGAAGCATAGAAGAACTGCCGCGCCCCAAAAATTGAGTCCCGGTCTTCTATCATTTACAATGGATCAAACAACACAATTTTGATTGGTGTTTACAATTTGTCTTTTCTCGTTGGTTTATTCTTAGCTCATTATATTCTAATTGGTTCTTATTCTATGCACACAAACAGCTTAAGATGAAACTTAATGGAACTTCATGTCTCTGGGCTGACCCTGGCTTGCTTGAGCAGCGGCCAAACATTGGTCTTATCTCTTAGTTTCTCACACAGAGAATTGGGGAGGGAACTGTTTTTCTAAAGACTGTATCATCTGGTCTTTTCTTTTAGGACTACAACTCCTATTATCCATTTTCAGATTACAACCCCTAAAACTGAACAGCAACTACCATCACTTTTGTTTATCAATCATGTGAATAATGAAAATTGCAACCCAATAGCACTTGTGGCGATGAGGTTGGGGAAAAGTTCAAGGACATACCCACAACAAGAAGGAGGAGGAGGAGGAGAGGAGGAAGAAGAACTTTATTTTTCTACCCCACCTCCATCTCCCCCAACGGGACTCGGGGTAGCTTACATGGGGCCAAGCCCAGGCAACATACAATTAAAAGCAAAACAACAGCAAGTTACAAATTAAAAAGACACAAAACAGCATAACAGTAATAAACAAGCATCAAGCAACAGCAATCAAATTTTGGAGGGGGGAAGGAGGCCAACATAAAAAATAATTAAAAGGTAAGTAGTTTAATAAGGTGGATAGGAATATAATTGGCACAGGAGATATCATGGAAACAGAGCAATTTGACAGGAACAGAATCATCTCAGTTTAACATACATATATGAATAATGATATAATAGATACAAGCCTTGTATCTAAATTCAAACCCACTATCTTGACAAACAAAACAAACAGCAGTCTTCCAGATGTTACTGTATCAGAACACATACTGTATCAGAAATCCCATCAGCTAGTCTTGATGTCTAATGATGAACACTATAGGAGCTGTAGTTCAGCACCTGGAGGGCCACATAAAATGACATGGCGAGCCAGATTTGGCACACGGGCCTTGAGTTTGACATATGTGCGCTAGATGGATACACTAAGTGACTGACCCACAGTTCCTCTTAATTATAACCCAAAAATGAAAATACATGGACTGAGAGCAATCAGTGGAATATTAAACAGAATACAAGAGTTACCGACCTAGTTACTGTTTCTCAAATGTTATTTTTCAGAAACACAGAATTCACGTTCAGAGACATATCACAGATATGATCACATAATGGGATCAGGTTTCCTGAGAGGAAGAGGGAATCTGAACAGCTATAACGACAGCAACACTCCTAAATTGCTAGGAGGTGGGTTTCCTCCTGAGTATAATGCAGACAAGAACAATTTTACTTGGTACGAGACATAGAGACAAAATATAGTTGTTTTATTTTGGTAGCAGACATATTCTTTCCCCCTTAAGTGCTGAATGGGAAAACTCACTCACCTGAGGAAGGACTTGGCAGGATAAATTTTAGTAACAGAAGAATCTTCTCTGTATGTAAATTGACCTGCTGGACGAAAGGCTGAATCGATTTTCATTCTGACAGGACACTCTGACACTTCTCTTTGTAGAGGGGTGTAGCACTCTATTATATGATCAGACACTCTGCATAAGAAAATAATAATAATAAAAAAGGAATGCTCACTACTATTAATATTACAAGATAGATACATCATGGATTAATTAGTTTGAACTCAATTGGAAAATGCACTCAATAAGAACCTCTGTCAGTAGGTTCTGTAACCTGAGATAAATCATAGTCTCTCAGTTTGGGTGGAATAGGAAACTGCGGTTTCACAAACATTCTAGGTATTAATTTGCAACACACAAAAGTCGAAAGAGGGAAGTATGCAAGCATAGCATATTTTTAGAATGATAGTTATTTAGGTTAAGGTAACATGTTCAAACGAGGAGAGAGATTTGTCTAAAGCAGTGGTTCTCAACCTGTGGATCCCCAGGTGTTTTGGCCTACAATGCACAGAAATCCCAGCCAGTTTACCAGCTCTTAGAGTATCTGGGAATTGAAGGCCAAAACATCTGGGAACCCACAGGTTGAGAACCACTGGTCCAAAGCTTGCTCTTTACTTCAGGCACCATATCAATTCAGTATACATTACCTCTAATCCCATAATATTCCTAAGGATATCTCTTTTCCTTTCCTTGACATAAGTTCATGTTATTCACCCGTGCATGCAAAGTATACAAGAGTGAACAAGATAGTTTTTAAATAGCTGGGCATCCTTTGGCAAATTTGTAGAAAAGCTTGCGCACATGGACTGGTTTGGATCTTTACAATTCTCTTGGATACCTCAACCAGTCCATCACATGGCCTCTCTCCCTCGATCCTTCCTTTACTCCCTATTACAAACAAGCACACACACACACACACACACATTAATTTTTCTCTCTAAAGTGTGATTATAGTTCTATTTAGTTCAACCTTCTCTGCTTTTAGGTATACATTCAGCCTTTCATATTTGCAGACTTCACTTTTGTAAATTTGATTATTTATAAATTTGATTAAAATGTTCTCTTTAAGAATCTCTAGGACCTCTAACATGACCCTGTGGACAGCTTTTACTGGTGCCTTCTAAGGTAAACAGTATTTTTTAAAAATTATTTGTCCTACTTTTGCCCACGTGACCTCAGCCCAGTAGAGGATTGGCTGTAAAAGGTAATACCTATAGAAAATTTGTTCTTTTATTTTATGACTAACTCTGTTGAACATAGGTTCTCCAAAAACTTCCTGATACATCTTCCAAAAGGCGAAGGAAGGAACAAGGAAATCAGCAATTCTCAACTTGAATCTAACCAACAGAAATAATGAGTGCAAAATAATAATAATAATATGACAAAGGATTAATTGAAGAGGAGGTTTCTTCAGTTGGGAGTTGGTAACTGTAATCAAAACAGTTGGTATTTTAGTGAGAATTGACTACTTGACACTAAGGATTCATGACTATGCAACACACAATGAAGAGGATAGTAAAAAACAGATTGTGAATTTCAGGAAAGCTGATTTTATCAGGCTCAGGGAAATAATGGGTAGTAAAGGTAAAGGTTTCCCCTTGACATTAAGACTAGTCGTGTCCGACTCTGGGGGGTGGTTCTCATCTCCATTTCTAAGCCGAAGAGCCAGCATAGTCCATAAGTCATGTGGCTGGCATCACTGTATGGAGTGCCATTACCTTCCCACTGAAGCCGTACCTATTGATCTTGCATTTGCATGTTTTCAACCTGCTAGGTTGGCAGAAGCTAGGGCTAACAGCGGGAGCTCACTCCACTCCCCAGATCTGAACTGCTGAGCTTTTGGTCAGCAAAATCAGCAGCTCAGCACTTTAACCCATTGTGCCACTGAGGACCCCCCGGTTAAAGGAAAAAGAAACTCAACATGATTGGGATTTCATGAAACCACGATCATAAACACTTCTATAGAAGAAAAAAAAGGAAACATCTGGGAAAGTCAATTCAACTTAGTGAAGAGAAGATTTAAAATTGACATGACTCCAACAATACTTAAATGGCTGTTTTAACATAAAAGAGCCAGGGTTGTTTTCTGTTGTCAGAATGTAGGACCAGGACTAATGGCCTGAAGTTACAGGAGAGTAGATTTTGACTGAACATTAAAAATAACTTGACAATAAAAGTGGTTTTACAACAGAATCAGTTGTAAAGAGAGATAGTAGAGTCTCTTTCTCTGGTCATCTTCTAAAGGAGTTTGGATATGATTTAGATGAAAATCATGTACTGAGTTGGGGACTGGACCCAATGACCTATGAGTCCTCATCTAATTCTATGAATGTGAATTTGGTCACTTTTGCCTAATTAACATAAAACATATTAAGGCAAAATTGAAGAGAGATGGAAAGAAATAACACTGAGGCTTACAAGAGATAATTCATTAACTACTGCAAAAATAATATTTTTCCCAAAGGGAAAATTATGTTAAAATTAACATTAAGGATTTCATAATTTGAATATAACACACATTTTGTAAACTGTATAGAAATGCAATTTACTTATAGATGATGTTAGAGACATCTCCTGAGAAAATTTATTTTAACAACCATATAAAACAGTGAATATACCTGATTATGCTGCATTGCTTCCTACCAACTGAAACCTCTCGGGAATTGCCACTACTTAGGTACTCCCCAGTTAATGTCAGCAATGTACCACCATATCTGGGACCATAGGTGGGGGAGATGCTCCTTATTACGGGATTCTGCACAATAAAAAAGTGTCTTGTTACTTTAAATGAAATGCTCCAAGTCACATTAAAATCAGAAACAAGTATAATTACATACAACTGAACACTCAAACTTAAATTGTTATGTAGGAGATGCAAAGCTGTTTCCATAATCTTCTACAAACTATGAGTAGCAAGCAGAAAATGCATATTTTACAGTTTTAATAAGGCAAAATAAACTAAAACATGAAATGTTTCACAATATTTAAACTCATAAAGATGTTTCAAAATTGGACCATTAACTATCAAATACGTACCACGAAAGAGAATGTACTGAATGATGCATTCACTTGTCCATTTGAAACAGTGCTTAAAACATTAAAACTTGCATTCTTGACAGGACCAACTATGCATTCCAATCTTCAAGAAAAAGAAAGAAGACCTCAGTCATAATTATGTTATAATTAGACAGATTGGCACAGGCTCATAATAAAAAAACGTATCTAAGCAACAGAATAAGACAATTCAACTAACAGCTTTTTTTGGTGTGGGTGTGTGCCTAATATTTTCTTTTAATCTGTGATGATAGATAGCGTAACAACACCTTGACTATATGGATACTAAAAACTGGCAAGTTACTTGTAGCTTAAATGTACTAAAACTCAGGTATGTGGATTCATCAGTGTATGTACCTCAGTTGGCAGAACGGGACTTTGTTTTCTCTTCCAGTTTCATGAAAAGTGTTTAAAGGAAGTGGGGAAAGCTTGCATCACAGAAGGTGCTTCTGCTCAATTTTTAGCGTATCTGACTTTCTACCAATCTAGCTAAGGTAAAGGTTTCCCCTTGACATTAAGTCTAATTGTGTCCAACTCTGGGGGGCAGAGCTCAACTCCATTTCTAAACCAAAGAGCCAGCATTGTCCATAGATACCTCCAAGGTCATGTGGCCAGCATGACTGCATGGAGCGCCGTTACCTTTCTGCTGAAGCAATAACTATTGATCTACTCACATTTGCATGTTTTTGAACTGCTAGGGCTGGGATTAACAGTGGGAGGTCACTTTGCTTTCCCAGATTCAAACCTCCAACCTTTTGTTCAGCAAGTTCAGCAGCTCAGTGGTTTAACCCGCTGCACCACCATGGGACCACACCAACCTAGCTGCACATGCCTAATTATAAATCTAAATTCAACTCTATACAGACAGGGTGATGATGGTGTATACCAGGGGTCCTCAAACTTTTTAAACAGAGGGCCAGGTCATAGTCCCTCAAACCGTTGGAGGGCCGGATTATAATTTGAAAAAAAAAACCCATGAATGAATTGCTATGCACACTGCACATATCTTATTTGTAGTGCAAAAAATACTTTAAAAATACAATAATTAAAATGAAGAACAATTTTAACAAATATAAATGTATTAGTATTTCAATGGGAAATGTGGGCCTGCTTTTGGCTGATGAGATAGGATTGTTGTTGCTGTGTACTTTCAAATCATTTCAGATTTAGGTTGAACCTGAGTGAGGGACAGATAAATGACTTTGGAGGGCCGTATCTGGCCCGCGGGCCTTCGTTTGAGGACCCCTGGTGTATCTGCATTCTGCAAAGATGATAGTAAGACATATGCTATTGCACAGCTATTGAACTTGGGAAGCTCTGTTGTACTGTGCAATGTCTGAGCATAAAAAGGGCATTTAGAGGGACGTCTGCATTAGCAACTCTTTTAAATTCAAATACTGTACTGAGTTTGCAACAAAATGTCACTTCTTAGAAACTCTGCCCGAAAGAAAGGCTACAATGGTAAGGAAAGAATCTACCTATTCACATTTTCCAAGAACATAATGAAGACATGTTAGGACACCCTTATCAGAAACATTCAAAGGCTTCGCACTATGAAGTTTGTTTGTATGAGTCAGTCATAGAAAATCAAGTGCAGTTCTTTATTTACATTATCTGTATTGCTATGTCAGCAATACACCACAAATGTTTTCCTCAATTTGCTAGAGGATTATGAGGCAAATGCTAGAGAGCTAAATTCCAGAGTAGCTGTTAATATTAACTATCTGGCGCCTACATCAGTGGTTGCAAGAATTAACAAGATCCTAAAGGAACTGCTTTGGCACCTCAACTCTATATATATATATATATACACATATACATACATACATACATACATACATACATATATAAATATATATCTGCCATCTGTGCTAGAATAATGCTTCTGATTGGTGAGTTAATAATACTATGTCTGTGATACGGAATTGATTCTATTTTTTGCACAGATCTCATCTCAATTCTGATTCCAATATAGCTGAGGGGTCAAAGCAGTTCTTTTAGGATCTGATGTCCCAGGGATCTGGCTTTGCTCACTCCTCAAGGGAAGAGCAACACTGTATACATATATAGATGCTTAAACATCTATATATGTATAGATGTTTTATATTAATTTCTCAGCTTTATATTAATTTTTATATTAATTTCTCAGCTTTATTCACAATTTCCTTTCTTCCACTGGGAAGAATGGGAAAAGCAAAGCTGACTTTGAGACTCAGAAGGAAGGAGGAACTTCTGCCCACACTACGTTTTCTTCTAGGAAATGTTTCTTGCTGGTATCTTTGACCTAAGAAAGAGATAAATTTGGAGACTTCTCTGCACAATGTTAGTTTTCCTTGCTGTAAGCTCTGTGCATCCTTTTAGGAAGGGCATTAGGGAGAATGAGGAGTTTGTTTATGGAAGGGAATTTCTTTGACCCTTTGTAGGTGACATTCGGCCCACAGACCATGTTCCATTTTCTTGTTATATGCTTTTGCAGAGGTGCTCTTTCAGATAGTAAAGGCATTCCTACACAGAATGCATAGAAATGTTCTAATGAAGAGGCTAACAATGTGTGAACTAGTGTGGCTTGGTTGTCCCAGTCTGGGAAAATACAGTAGCCCATTTCATTTTTATGTTAATATTTATTAGTTAACTTTCTGAACCATGTCTACCTACTGCGGTGAATTATGAGTGCAAAATATTAACATTTATATTTTTAAAGTATTCAAAATCTAAGAATACTATACAATGAAATTCCATAATAATAATAATAATAATAATAATAATAATAATAAATGACAACAGCAGCCACAAGAATTGTACATGCCCAGAGATGGAAGGGACCAGTTAGCCCAACACAAGAAGAATGGTTGGGGAAGACTTGTGAATCTGCTGAGATGAACAAATTTACTATGCTGATAAAGAAGACTTGGTTAGCAAAGTATAACAAAGATTGGGATTTACTAATTACCTTTTTCCAACAATGACAGGACATTGATCAATAGGGTTAATGAATGACTAGTGTTGCCTCAAGTACATTATTTTGAAACACCCTATAATTTAGAGCCAGACTAACAAGGCATAACAACCAACAGATGGAATAGGAAGCTTATAGATTCTTTTGTTTGTTTTTGTGTACGCACATGTGTTTTGTTCTTGTTTTTATTGTTATTATTAAGGTGAAAAGCAGGCTTTGTCTGTAGACACTTCCACGGTCATGTGGCCAGCATGACTGTACTGAACACAGTTACCTTCTCGCAGAAGCAGTACCTATTGATCTACTCACATTTGCATGATTTCAAACTGCTAGGTTGGCAGAAGATGGGGCTAACTGCAGCAGCTCACCCCGCTCCCCGGATTCAAGCTGCCAACCTTTCAGTCAGCAAGTTCAGCAGCTCAGCAATTTAACCCAATGTGCCACCAGGGAGCCCAGTTTAGTAGTAGAGGATAGTATGTAGCTGTGTAGTTTTTAGTTTTATATATCTAAAAAATTTTGTGTGTGTTTTATTTTGGTTTTTTCTTGATTTAAATTACTTTAAAACAGTATGTATAAAAGGTTACACATTTGACAACATATATATAAAGAATTGATGGCTCCAGTTTTTTATTATGGTTTTCATTCATTGCATGCATGAGAAGCCTTGTTTTGAGGAAGTATTGATAACTTACCTGTTTTTGTCACTAGCTTTGACATCCAGAACGCACTGGTCTCTCCCTATAAGAACTGTCATTTTCTTTAAACTGAACTTGTTATTTTTGTTAAATCCAAAGTCCCATCCACACAGTGTCAGTCTTGTTGCACCATCAAAAGTGGCACTGCTTGGAATAATCTAAAAAAGAAAGGAAAATAACAGTATTGCACTTATATCTTCTGATAGCCTTTGAAGGCAAAAAATAATTTCATCTAGAAGAGAGTATCCCACCCTTTATCTTAATTGTTCTTCACCTTGCATTCATCACAGCATGAGTCTACTCAGACAGTAGCAATAAATAAGCCAGCCACTGCTAGAAAGCTCTGAATTATTATGTTTAGGGGCACTGAACAAGCTCTGCATTGTAATAGTTTTTTTTAATACCCTCTTTTATGTCTTTCTTGTGGTATGCTGAAGAATACAATATACTTATTTTATTAGAAGAATGATAGTGAATAAAAGAATATCAGACGGAGAATGATACTTATTTCACCAACTTGATGAAAACGCAGGAATTCACGGTGATGACAGCTTCAAAGACATCTAAATCAAACATGGCCTAAGGAGCCAGAAATTCAACATAATGTCTACAAAAATGCTTTGGCTGAACAGCTATCATTTGGTTACTTCCAAATTTCAAGTTAAAAATAACCCACCTTGTAGCAATGTAGTGACAATTCAGAAAGGAAATGCCCACCCCCCCTTACACTCAGCAACCTTCTGTATATTGTAAATTGTGTTGTAAATATAACAATGGTGGGAAAATGCATGAATGCTATAGAACGTGTGCAGATTTCACTAAAGGATATTCAGCAGTGTCAATAAAAATTTGACAATGCTGTAGGGTTTACACAAACTTCACAATACCATTTAATTTTGTAACCATTTCAAGCCGAAGCCAGAGAACAAAAGGCTTAAGGCATGCTTGTGATGGAACAAGAAGAGTGTCTTTGGCTTAATCTTTTAGAGAGATATTTTATTCCTATTACGCAGCACAATTGTTCCTTTCATCATGAGCTCTGGTTTTTCATGCTGCATCCGAGATGAACATTTCTAGCAAAACGCTCAGGTTACTGCTCTCTTTTAATATCCACTAAGACTGGCACAATTCTTTTCAACTTCATCTACACAGTTTAATACTTGAGGGATTGAAAAAATGGAATGCCAAGGGAAAAGTAGGCATTGTGAACATACCGCACACATTAAACCATAGAATAGTAAAGTAATTGTCCCTGGAGAAAAATGAATGAAGACGTATATCCAAACCCTAATTAAAAAGAAAACAATTTCAAAACTCTTCCACAGTCTTTTGTGCATGCTGTCACATTTCCTCCATATATTATATTATTCAAGTCATACAAATAAGAATTCTCCTACAAGTAATTGATTCCCCCCACTCATTCAATGATCAAGGATCTGGAGAGCAAGTCCTATGAGGAACAGCTTAAAGAGCTGGGCATGTTTAGCCTGCAGAAGAGAAGGCTGAGAAGTGATATGATGACCATGCATAAATATGTGAGGGGAAGTCATAGGGAGGAGGAGGCAGGCTTGTTTTCTGCTGCCTTGGAGACTAAAACGCGGAACAATGGCTTCAAACTACAGGAAAGAAGATTCCATCTGAACGTTAGAAAAAACTTCCTAACTGTGAGAGTTGTTCAGCAGTGGAACTCTACCCCAGAGTGTGGTGGAGCTCCTTCTTTGGAGGCTTTTAAACAGAGGCTGGATGGCCATCCGTCGGAGATTCTTTGAATGTAATTTTCCTGCTTCTTCGCAGGGGGTTGGACTGGATGGCCTATGAGGCCTCTTCAAACTTGATGTTTCTATAATTGTATGGTTTATTTCCCTATCAAAATTGAAAAACAAACAATAAAAAAATAATATTTATGCAGATTGCTGGCTGATAAGGGTTTTTTAAGCTCTGATCTACAGAGTGGCAATCCAATGCTCAAACCACAATACCCCACTGGCCTTCAAGATCATTTTGCCAACTAATAACACGTAACTTATGAGTGTAGTTGTGTTGTGTACACTTATATGCAACAGTACTTAATCATGATACTTGATTCACTGCTTTTATCATAATACTTGATTCAAGAATTCCTAGCACATTGAGGTGATCATAACGAGGGTGGCCCTTCCAGGAAATCCTCTAGACGACCAAATTATCTACCCACAAACCTGAACTGAAACTCGGTTTACTGGACTATTATTGTGTCTAGATACCGATTCAGAAAACTAATTCTGCCACCTGGATTTGATGAAAAGCAGACAAGACTTGGTATCACTCACATACTTGTGACATATGAATCTACATTTTCAGATGATCTCTCCCAATCATTTAATGCTGATGGTAAACAGAAGAGATTTTAAAAAGCCTTGATGCATTCTGAAATGTAATAGTCAGGCATAGGAATTACCCACCTCAAAAGAGACATAATCCTACAGGGTAGCTGCTAGAACTCTTCTCAAAGTAGGCTTGAAACTCATCTGAAAGCACTTGTATCAGAGGGCTTGGAAACCACTTTCCCAAGGATCTGGCTCAAGAAAGGGATTTTAGAAACCCTCTGACACTTGTGCATATTATCTAAAATGTGGTTAGATGTTTTCAGGGGCAGATTGTAGCTTCTTAAGAAGTTGGTTGTAATACTTCACTTGAGGACAAATTTACTTCCTACACTATCTCCTCAGATATCATCACCCTATTAGAGGTAATGAGCCTGAGAGGACCAGGGGTAATGCAATAAATGTTGCCAAGCACTGTATCCATACCCTCAGCAACTGAAATTCGCCTGATAAATATGGACAAGTTGGTAATAAGGTCATCATTACTGTCAAACCTCATTTGTGCGTGTTTTCAAAGTTTCTGACATATGCTACTGAAGGTTCCACAGGTATCAGAGTAGGCTAGTTTGTGTACCATTGTACAGGGTTAGTCAAAATGAATAGGCCAATAAGAAAATTAATTTTAGACGAATGTATGTTTACTGTAACCAAACCACAGCTACGTAGCGACAGATAAACTATCAAAGTTTTTTTTGAGCAACACACATGTACGTTAATGCCGCTAGGCGTCGCTAGGGGTCGCTGTTTTCAAAATGGCGGAATCAAGCAAAGAGAAGGCGTTTTGTGTGATGACATTTGCTAAAACAATGTCAGTAATTACGGTCCAGCGAGAATTTCAAGGGTTAGGGTTAGGGTTAGGGTTAGGGTTAGGGATAGGGTTAGGGTTAGGGTTAGGGATAGGGATAGGGTTAGGGTTAGGGTTAGGGTTAGGACCTCAACGAACACCTTCCCAGACGTTGCTGCATTCGATGCCATTACGTCGGATGTGCTGCAACGGATGTGGAATGAACTGGACTATCGCTTGGACATCTGCCGTGTCACACGGGGCGCCCATATCGAACATCTCTGAAGGTGAGACAAAACTTTGATAGTTTATCTGTCGCTACGTAGCTGTAGTTTGGTTACAATAAACATACATTCGTCTAAAATTAATTTTCTTATTGGCCTATTCATTTTGACTAACCCTGTATTGTCATGCCTATAACTCATTGGCAAGTTTCTATTATGACTGTTGGGCTCAATGGATCATTGTAAACATTCCTCTTGGGTACTTCAAGGATTAGAGTCCCTGGTAGTGCAATGGGTTAAACCCTTGTGTCGGCAGCATTGCTGAATGAAAGGTTGGCAGTTCGAATCCAAGGAGTGGGGTGAGCTCCCACCTCTCAGCTTCAGCTTCTCATACGGGGACATGAGAAAAGCCTCCACAGGATGGTAAAACTTCTGGGTGTCCCCTGGGAAACATCCTTCCAGACAGCTAATTCTCTCACACCAGAAGCAACTTACAGTTTCTTAAGTTGCTCCTGAAACACACGCGCACACACACACTTCAAGGATTTCAGAAACAACTTTACAATCTCAAACCAAGGACAAGAGGTGGCTGCTCCCTTATCCAAGTCCTAGCATTGTTTGCCCAAATGTACCAATATTCTATTGTTCAGGTGCGAAATGCCTATTTACAATAACAGCTTGACACTATTTTTAAACTGTCGACAATGTCAAAACAAACACAAAAGACGTTTACCCCTTTTAAGATGAAGGAAAATAAGTCAAAGCCATAATTATGTTTAGTGTGTGAATTCACCTTTTTTAAATGACCTGAATTCCACAGCTGAAATATTTGTTGTTGTTTCTGTTCCATTACTCTTTCTGGTGACACTCATCCAAATTTCCTGGCTGCTTTTGGCTTGTTTATCATCTCAGCTAACAATCACATCATTTTTTCCCGGCTGGCCTAAGAAATAATTGCAAAGCCTTTTGACATAGTTCTTGAGCCAAGTGAACATAGCTACTGAATGCCAAATAAGTAGACATTACAATGAAAGTTTCTAGGGAAAATTATTTCCAGGGCTGTAGCTGTGTTAGCCTAATGCAGAAAAGCAACAAAGAACTGTGTGACACCTTAAAGAGTAACAAAATTTATTTGGCATAAAGCTTTCGTGGAGTAATGTGCAGTCCATGAAAGTGTATGCCAAAATAAAATTCATTAGTCTCTAAATGCCTCAAGACAGCCTGTTGATCAGGGAAAGTTGGTTTTATGCCAAAATCTCACAGATAACTGTTTAATTCTATACATAAGGAAAAAATATGAGGTGTTTCGATGTTTTGGAACTTTTGGGGGAAATGCCTGTTGATAAATACATTAGCTTGAAATGCTATGGGGTGGGGCCTAAAGCCCCAGAAAGGTTTGGGCTAAAATTAGGAGGGTGTAAAACAATTTTCCTCAGTCATCCTAATGCCGTGACCCCTTAATCCAGTTCCTTATGTTGTGGTGACGCCATCACAAAATTATTTTTGATGCTACTTCATAACTATAATTTTGCTACTCTTGTGAAATGTAATGTAAATATCTGATTTTCATTCACTAGATTGAATTTGTCACAAATACTAGATATGCCCAAATTAGAATACTGGTGGGGCTGGGGGGGGGGGGTTGATTTTGCCATTTGGAAGTTGTAGTTGCCGGGATTTATAGTTCACCTACAATCAAAGAGCATTCTGAGCTCCACCAATGATGGAATTGAACCAAACTTGGTACACAGAATTCCCATGCCCGACAGAAGATCTTAGAAGGGTTT